GCGATGCATTCAAACAAGCAATGCAACATAAACTTTATTTCTTACAGGATAAGGTGACAGCTCTTTAAACAAAAAATAAGATGCAGCAAGCGCCACCGTGTTCTCTGAGAGACTTAAATATTTAGTACAACCGTTATTTAGTCGTTGCACGGTCCTGTGGAATGAAACGTCGGCATAACTTGATTTTCGTTTCATTACATCGTTTTGGCATTGTTTTAATCTATATCCATATAGAGCTATGTGACGCTTTAGCGCTCTATCATTAGCTACCTCTACACCTTTAGTGGTATCAGATACGTCATTGTCTCCAACTGTCCATTTAAAATGGTGTGGGTATTACTAACTGTCGCGCTTCCCATCCAATAATAGTTACACGGAACAATGCAAGTCGTACAGCCGCCATTATTGCTACTTGTAGAGTAAATAAGACATAGCTTCAATGTCCTATGCAGCGGCAAAGTCGCGCACAGCTCTCCCTGTATAATCGGTACGTGCTGATCCTAACCACTCCATGTGGTGGGCGTTAAAGTCGCCGAGAATCAACACCTCCACTGAGGGAAGCTGTTGCAGGATTTCGTCGAGTCCCTTTTGGACACACCTTAGGAGTCTGTCAGTTTCCAAGTCTCCGCTATGAGACACGCACAGGCACGCGTAGATAGGTGTGGCCCCCGTAATCAACACGCGCTCAGAATAGAGACAGATCCGTCTTCGAAACTGCCTAGAGGGCGACAGCAGTAATCATCCCGAACATACATGCACACCCCAGCCCGAGAAACAAACTTGTATTCCAGACTGTATCCGGGGTACATGAGGTACGATACGTAAGACGGGGTAGATATCTGCGTCTCCGTCAGGAAAAATAAGGCCAGGTTGGACGTCTCGAGATGGCGATGAACGTCATTCAAGTTAGAGCGAAGTCCCCTGATGTTGCAAAAGTCCACATTTAAAGTGGAACAGGGCGCCCTTGTATAAACGTTTTTCCATTTTTTTAACAGCCATAAATAAAAAGATGTAAAGGGAGGCTGAAGTGGACAGCCGCAATCTGTTACTTGGGTAAAAAAATAGACCATATTTCACCTTGGAACACCAAGTGTAGCGCCTCCCCGGACGGAAGGGCCCCCGGTCCAACTTAAGTTTGGGCGACGGGTTCCACTTCGGGGTACCAGTCCGGCACGAAGATCAACTCATAGGCTTTTATCACTGGCGGCAGGACAGCCTCTCTGGCTGGGACAAGCCCGGGTTCGGGTCCTCTACGTACCAGTGGGCGGCCAACGGACAACCGTTTCACCGGGTCTCCCTGGCCCCGATGTCAAAGCGGCACGCTCAGCGCAGCAGAGCAGGGGTACAGGACCATGCGAGCCGAGAACTGGTGAGACTGTGGCAATCGGGAGGGAGGAGCTAGTGTTCGCGCGCACAGTCGGAACACACCCAAAGGTGCTTTGCGACAGATTCCGACGCGAGCGTGGTCGCTAACCAGTCGAGTCCTATGAGGGCTCTGCCACCAAGCTAGGCGATATTTGGATATTACATGAGACCATCGTAAAGCCTCACAACCTGAGATCTTAAGGAATCAGTTGTTCACTTGGCACTACCCAGGAGTCACGTGTGGGGTATCTAGAGTCACAGCCTACGGACGCGAACAATACCGGCTAATAACTCCTAAGTTTATTTACTACATGAGTAACAAAATTGAGTATGGCGTCGTTAGTGGATTTACCAGGTCTAAAACCAAACTGAGAATCGGACAATAATTTTTGACCTTCAAGGTAATTAGTTAACATCTTTTTTTTTTTCAAATATTTATAAGAGGTTCTTTAATAAGAGGATTTCGACCAGGGTTCGGTTTTCCGTTGGCTCTTACCATTTTGTTGCTGCGTGTACGGGGCTGTAAGAATTTTTTTATTCCATTTTCCTTCAATGTACATGCTATACACATATAAATTATATCAAATTCTTTATTGCAATTTTCAGTAGGTACCTATAGTTGTCGCTACGAAGGTTTTAAATTTTTCTTGCTAGGAAATTCTCCACCTCGCATTTATATTCCTTAAACATTTTCAGTACTTCATTGTTTTGTTAGACACAGCAATAAAAGCACAATAACCAATAATAAGCTCTTCGAGTCATACAAATCGTTCACTCGCTGAGCACTGAGTACCTACAGAACTATAGCGACATGCTGGTGGTTACCGTGTCCTCCAGGTCGGTCACTACCGTCATGACTAACAAGTCATGCCAGACACGAAGTAAAGTTGCTTCTGCTACCAGCCTACGGAGACATTTTTGTAGTGTGCAAATATGCGCGAACTGATAATGCGCGGCCAGTAACGCCTGGCCCTATAGTGCTTGAAGACAGTGTTCAGATTCTTAGCCGAGGAATATATGGACGGTGTTCTGCATATTTGTGTTAGCCACAAAGTGAAAGTTTCGAAATATTGAATATCAAAGATTTGTCGTTACTCCTTTAAATCATTATCATAACTTTAGCGTACAGTAATACGAACGAGTAGAGTTCGGACTCTAGACATTTTGTTAAAGAATAATTTTATATCTCACTTCACTTAAATATTATTTTAATTTTATTTAATTATGTTACGCAAAGTAAAATTACGAGAAACATCGAAACAAAACACAGTTTTACTTTTTTTTTTACTCTTTTTTGTTTGATCATTATTGAACATGTAAACCCCATTAGAAAAACAATACCTCAAGAAAAAACTTAATAAAATACAGACAGTTAAATCAAAATACTAACAAAATCTTCGCGGCATTACATACATGTTCGTTCCGACAAAACGGATTGAAATCACCCAAATTTAATGTACGGAAACCAGAAATATCATTACTAGTTGCTCAAAACCAGTAACATTAGATATATTAACGGTGATTGTACTACCCGATCAGTAGGTCCAATGCCCATACCATATAATAATTTTCTTGTTGCGGTCCTACTGGTAGAACCACGGACAAAAGAGGAAACAAAATTATAATTATTGTAATCTAAATAAGAAAGAATCATTTTCAATTATTTTGGCGAACGTAAAGAATCATAACATAATAAACAAACTGCTTGTCAAGTTGTCAGACATACCTACAGCCTTTGTTTGAATCAAACTTATTATTTAAATATTAAAATTGACCATCATAAATTTACCGCTATTCAGCTAAATATTATCATTGTCTTAAACAACTTACCATACCTGTCTCGTTCTGGGGTAGGCAGAGATCGAGAGAGAGATGAGTCTTCACTTGCTACACTCGTGGCAAAAACCTCTTTCCCCTCCTTCATTGTCATCAATCTCTTCATGCATACCCGATTAATCTTAATATATTGGTATGGTCAGAACACAGTCCATTATTTTCGCGGATTAGCAGATTAGATGTGATATGGCCACGTGATAAGGGACTGCGTTAGCATCTTAGACTTCCTTTATTTTTTCCATCCTTTATGGTTAGCATCCTACTAAGTTTGAGGACTCTGCTTAAATAAGCAATCATAGATAGTATTGGTTCACGGAGAAAGTTCCATTTTTTTAATTCATATTATTTAGAAAAACAAACATTTTCCCGAATATTTTGCTTATATTTTTCCACATTTGACGGTTGACTCCTATAAAAAGTTGACGATAGTGTAGATAGGTAGGTTGTCTAGTTAGAAGGTAGTAGGAAAGCGGGACAGATTCATATACTTTTTTTTAACTTTAATTTTGGGCAACTAAATGAAATTATAATGAATATTTTTTCTACCTAATTGACATTACTAATTTAATCTTTTCTTTCATAAATAGCATTGATAATTTAAATTTTTTTATTATATCAAAAAATGAGAATTGTCCAATTTTGCCCCAACTGTGGGGTACATTGACACATCCCTTGGGGCACTTAGATGTGTGAATCAACTTTGTGTGCCATTCCTGGTTGCTACGTATTATCAGCACTAGGTGATCAACTGTTCATAAATTATAACGCTATATGTGCCTTAGCAGTTGCTAGATCAAAACTTCTTTCTATAGCACCATTTGAAAAGTGTTCTTTGTAATGTAGTCTCGGAAGTAGAAATAAAGAAGGAAGAGCTGACTATAGCGCGAAATGTCACTAGTTCACTTCTTTACAATGACTTGTCGAAACAGTTCTACATTTTCCGTACAAAATAACTAATAGGAACATTTTGATTCGTACTAAACTGCCCCACTCACTAGAGTATAAAAGTACCCCACCTGCCCATTTAGAAAACAATTTTTTTTAATCTTTGTAATATATTCTCTTAAAGTTACATGCAATTCTAATTATTGAAAACACTAGTTTACCCTGTATTAAGACATGAAACCCTGTAAAGTGAACAATATGCAGTGGCACTCGTATTTGTGCCGCTTATTTTTTTAGTCAACGGTTGTGAAAACACTTTGTGACCTGTCGAACGACTACGGCTAACTGGTGAGCTGCATCATTGCATGTCTATTTTTATTACTCACGCGTACAAAGGCACGTTTTGGTATTATGACAACTAATATTATGTTTGAAGGTATGGAGATAATGCATTTCGGCCCGAATCGCACCCTATTTCGCAGTTTCTCGCCTCACCCATCATTCCAGGCCATTTCTACCGAAGATGCGCAAGAATTGAAACTTTGCCATACAAATTTCAAATCTTCGTCACGTGTCACCTCGCCGGTGAAAAAACACCTTCACTCTAACTTGCTTTTAGCTATAGAATTACATTTTATGATTCACGCTAAATAAAACTTGAAAAGATACATCTAAACGTAGAACACCATTGTTTAAAAAAATCCTTTATTTGAAATGTTTCGAAAAATTACCCAACGGTGAGAAACACCACACGCAAAGAATTTAAAAAACAAACGAGCAAGCGCGCGAGTTTGAGGTTATAGCTGTCAAAATATGAAACTAGATAATATTAATAAACTTGGTAGTTTGTAGTAACAAAATAATCTGTTATCACGTGCATTTGTTACTTATCACTGTTAGCAGTATAGAACATTGTACCCAATGAAATAATTGGTTATATAAGTGTAACGAAGCGACTATATCACCATTTGCCGAACCCCAATTGAGTATCAAATCAGTTGAACCTGTGAATTCTAGGACCTCTCGTGATTTGCAAAAATGTTCAAGGTACATGAAACTTTATAATTTAAATTTAAGAATACAAAGAGGGAAAAAGAACGCAAAAATATCTACTAATAGTATCGTCTGCATACAGATTAGACTATTATTTATACAGCGATACCTGCTACCTAGAGATAATGATGATCATGATCACGTGGTGGCGCAATTTCCAGAATCGCAATCGAACCATGTCTCAAGTTAACTTGTAAGCTAAATTGTAATTTACTAAGTTCATTGTTTGGAAAGTTATTCTCGTTCACTATCTAGGTATACACGTATTTGAATTCTCTATAAAGTATGCACATGATTTCAGGGTTTAGTAGCTTTAGTGACTGGTGGAGCGTCTGGGCTTGGTCGGGCAACAGTTGAGCATCTGGTGAAGCAAGGGGGGCGTGTCATCATCTGTGATTTGCCTTCCAATAGTGGTCACGAGACAGCCAAACAGATTGGACAAAATGCCGCATTTGTACCAGTTGATGTATGTATACTTTTTGTTAAAAAGAATTATTTCTTTTAAGCCGAGGCCTGTTCCTTGCGACATGATGAGTATGAGTAGGTATGCAGTATAATGAATATAATCATCTCACATTGCAAGATAAAATCAAATCATTGTTACACTATTTTTGTACATTTCTAAAATAATATGATTAAAAATTCATTTAAGTGATGAAAATTAGTCATTAACATAGAAAGCTATTTATTAGACAGCTACATATTTTGACAGCCTCTGTGATCGAGTGGCTTGCTCACTGGTTTCCATGGTGTCGCCATCTCTGAGGTTCAGGTTCGATTCTCGGCAAGGGCTATTCGAAGATGTTAGAGCCTACATCAGAGTCGGTGACAAACAGTTTGAACATTTGCTGCAAACAAATTATAAATAAAGTTGTATTTATTTCTAATATTGTTTTTTTTATTGAACTTCAATGGTCAAGCTCAATTCAGGACGAAAAATGGTCCAATTTTGAAAACTTACTTTTTAGTCAAATTTACTCGTCTTGCACATTAATAGCAATAATTTTCTATTTATATTAGATACAATAATGAATTATACCGCTATGAAATCTACTTTAAACACACATTATTTTAAAATAGTTGGTCACTCAGGTTATCATAATTTTATTTATATCAAAGATGCTTAAACTTTGCGGAAAAAAAATTTTGCATTGAAAAATAAAATACAACTTTTTTTAAATTGAAATGCCATAATTAGTTATACTATTTACTGCCTATCTATTAGCACTATTAATTTAGAATATTATGACACCAAAAAACCGAATGAATTGATTAACTTGTAGTCGTGGTGTACAAAAACGTAAAATAAGGTGAAAATAATTAAATTTAAAGAAAAAAATATATGTTTTAGGTCCTACATGGGATATTATATTTTTCTTTATAAATGTTTTTGAACGTTCATAAGCTCTACTATAAGTTATTTCAGGCTTATCCATTCTTTACCGGACACCCTGTATATTTATTATAAATAAATAAAAGCTACATTAAAGTGAAACTTTTATTGTTTTACCTGTACTAAGTAGTAACCTGAGTACACAATCTATAGAGCTGACCTCCACTGGAAGTAGCACCTTGTCTGTTATCATACTACAACCCATCTATCTATGGCCAATTGTACTAAATTTCAACTGTAATGCCGTAAACCCTCTTGTACAGGTAACAAAAGAAACAGATGTAAAAAATGCATTGCAAACCACTCAAGACAAATTTGGCCGGCTGGATGTGGCAGTCAACTGCGCCGGAATAGCTTCAGCCTCTCGGGTGTACAATTTCAAAAAGGATCAACCTTTTGACCTTCAAGTTTTCCAAAAGACTATTGAGGTAATATAATATTATGTGCATCACATTCATATACAAAATAAACTAAGCTCTAATTGAATATGTTTATTTCGGAATATTCATCCATAGAAATAATTAACTCATCTAGAAATTTTAGATAACTATTATTTATATACATATATAGCTTTATGATTATTATCAAGCTACAATTAAATCCCAACAAGGAAATTGCATTTCCAGGTTAATCTTATAGGTACATTCAATGTGATCCGACTATCAGCAGGTATGATAGGCAAGAATGCTCCTGATGCTGATGGTCAGAGAGGAGTCATCATCAACACTGCAAGTGTTGCTGCATTTGATGGACAGGTGTGTAACATTATCCTTTTAGTATTATTACAGTTATTTAATTTTAGAATATTTAGTTTTAGAATACGTACTATTCGAAAATTAAATAACTCAGAGAGCCACCTTGTGACCAAAAAATACACAATGTGAACAAAATCTATGCAGGGTCAAAAGCACAAAAAGTTTGTACTTCATTCAATGTAATGCCACTTATGATAAAAATGGTCCAAAATCCAAAATGTCAAACATGATAAAGAAGGTAGTAAGAAAGAAAAAAATACAGTATATGTTTTATGATTTAACACATAATACAATACAATTAGACTGGAATTAATGAATGAATGGAAATGGAATCCGTCATCCACTCAGTTTGTTGTTGTTTTACTGAAAGTGCTATGAAGCTGATTTTCAGTGAACACGGTAACAGTAAACGTATTTCACTAAATAGATACCATGATGACTTGGTACCTATTTTTTTGCCTATGAAGGCAATTAATTACAATATGATTTATTTCAAATTAATTTGATAAAATTAGGAACACATCAAATTTCATTTGTTAAAATTGTAAATATAAGGTTAAGTATATTCTCATTCAGATAATGAAAACGTTAGATAACACTTCTTATAAATAACTTATAAATGTCTCCGGCACATCAACAGCCAGAATGGATATACAACAATGCTATAAGTCAGTATCTTATTTCCACTACATCGGGAAGTACGCCTTAAATTATGAACAATTGTGAAATCTTGTACCGTAATAGAGTCTGTATACTACCTACGTAAGGTGGCGTGCGGACGCTACGGGCTTCGCCCTCCGCTACACCTAGGCCTACGGCCTCGACACTTGTGGCTTTAAAAAAATTACCATAGCTCTTTAAGAGCGGCCATATTGACAAATGGCAAAAAGTAAAATTTTGACTGAAATTTATTGTTACACACCCATAGAGATCCCCACATGCCGATTTTCAACTGAATTAGAGCAAATTTCCATCTGCCGCCAAAAAATTTGCATTGCAGCCATATTAAAAAATGGCGATAAACTAATGGCGATAAACTAATGGCGATAAACACATGCCAATTTTGAAAGGGATCATAACAATTTTTTTTCTACTGCCAACAAACGCTTCTATGACGGCCATATTTGGCGATATAAAATGGCGAGAAACAAATTTTGAGCACAAATTATTATCGGCATTTCTAGTGCCCTTCACATGCCAATTTTCAGTCAAATCAGAGCAAATCTCTTTCGGCAGCTATTTTTAACGAAAAATACACTTATATGCCATATTAAAAAATGGCGAAAAGAAATTTTTGACCCTTAATTATGATTAAGGATTCCTAAAGAACCTCGCATGCCAATTTTCAGTCGGATCGAAGCAAGTTTTTCTTCGGCCGCCATTTTGAAATCGCCATCTTGAATTTTTTTTAATCCAGGCAGTTGATCTATCCTAATAGTTTATACCTATCTCTAATAGTTTCTGTGATAGGAAGCTTTAAAATTTGTATGGCGGCCATCTTGTTTATTTGAATTTCGAACATTTTTTACTTCCCGCAGGAATTGACCAGGGCGTATCTCATAAAAATGCACAAAAATCCTCGCATGTATTATAGTTTTTGCAGGCCGTTGATCACTCGTTTACATTTTCCACATTCAGGTCTTCTCATATTTGGTTCTTTGCCTTGGAGCCTATCCGCGTACAACGGTATAAATATCGTTTTTCCACCATATCGGGAAGTATGAGTTCTATTTTTCTAATTGAGTCTAAACTTGTAGCTTTATATATATAACGAGCCCTGTACCCCACCTACGGTGGGGTCGGGGTTGGCCTGCGGCGCGTGGTCGGGTTCACTTTACGTACGGGGTGTGCTCATGCTCTTCGGTGGCACAGCAGTTAGTAGGTACTATGAGCGCTTGATGAGGAGGTTGATTCCCGATTTGGGCCAATTTAAGAAACGAACATTTCTAAGTTGGTTTTGGTCTAAGTATTCTGGGTTATCGTTGTTTTGGTATTTATACTACAGGAAATTCGGTAGTAGTTTGGCATTTTTTCCTACTAAATACTGGAAAATGGAATCTAACAGAGAAACGGTTGAGATACAACAACGCCTTGGAAGTATGCCTTACATTTTTAATATTGTGAGATCTTGTACTCGTAATCCATTACGCCTCCGTAAATTACCTCCTTGCAATGGTGTGCAGACGCTTCGGGCTTGGCCCTCCTCGGAGTTCGGCCTGTGGCCTCGGTACTTACGACTTTGTTTCAAAAAAATTTAAATAGATGTTTATTGGCGCCCATATTTAAAAATTGCGAAAATATATTTTCACCACTAATTATTATCAAACAATCTTAGAAATCTTTTCGTGCCAATTTTCACTCCGAGCAAAGCAAGTTCTTACAACAGCCATTTACATAAAAATATACGGCTATATCGAAAAACGGTGGAAACAAAATGACGATTGAAGCCAAGCCGTTTTCAGTCGAATTAGAAGACATTTTTATCTATCGCCAAAAAAGTTTGTACGGCAGCCATAGCGAAAAATGGCGAAAAGTAAATTTTGACCGCTAATTATTATTAAACACTCATAGAGACCTCGACAGGTCCATTCAATCGAATTAGAGCAACTTTTTATCTGCCGCCAAAAGTGTTTGTATGGCAGCCATGTTGAAAAAAGGCGAAAAATAAATTTTGACCGAAATTATTATCAAAAACCTATAGAGACCCCCAAATACCGATTTTCAGTTGAATTAGAGCTAATTTTTATAAACGCTTGTTTGGTGGCCATATTTGAAAATGGCGAAAAACAAATTTTGCACACAAATTATTATTCGGCACTTCTCGAGGCATTCACATGCCAATTTTCAGCCGAATCGGAGAAAATCTTTTTCGGCAGCTATTTTTAACGAAAAAAACACTTATATGGCAGCCATATTAAAAAATGGCGAAAAGCAACTTTTGACCCCAAATTATGATTAAAGACTCCTAAAGACCCTTGCATGCCAATTTTCAGCCGGATCGAAGCAAGTTTTTCTTCGGCCGTCATTTTGAAATCGCCATCTTGATTTTTTTTTAACTCAGGCAGTTGACCAGGGTTACCCTCTATGACATTCTTTCAAGCACCTCCTACCTATCTCCAATAGTTTCCGTGATAGATATTTGTATGGCGGCCATCTCGTTTATTTGCATTTCGAATATTTTTTACTTCCCGCGGAAATAGACCAGGGTCTACTTCATAAAAATGCACAAATATTCACTCCATATATTATAGTTTTTGCAGGCCGTTGATCACTCTTTCCTATTTTCCATATTCAGGTCCTCTCATAGTTGATTCTTTGCTTTGGAGCCTAACCGCGTACAACGGTAAAAAATATTTTTTTTTCCACCATATCGGGAAGTATGCGTTCTATTTCTATCAATGAGTAAGAACTTGTAGCTTTATTTATATAATAATACTCTTTGAGCAATTTTTCGAAAACAAATGGAGATAAAGATGTATGCTCAATATGTTTTCATAACCAATGAGTTCACATAGAGGCATAAATTTTGTTCATTCCCAATATTTTTGTTGAATTATTGAATGACATTACATATTGAAGCATCATATAATGTTTATGTAATGCTTCGACCGACGCGGTAAGTACAGCAATTTGTAAGAAAACCAAGCGTACCATACCATATCGATTCTAAATAGAATAATTTTTGTTCAAGTATTTGTTATTTACAAGTTGTCGTAGTATTAATATAGTAGAAAAATACAAGAACAAAATAGATCCAAGTCCTTTATTTTACTGGCTTTTAAAAAATCTTGATTCCTTATAAAAAAAAAACTTTAATTCTTAATCGACTCCAATATTACACTTATTGTCCTTTCTTTAAATGAGCTTATTATATAACTTTTTTTTTGTAATAGAAGATCTTTTCAATTTATTCAAATAATGAAAACGCACGTCGATATATGAACTTGCGGGGCAGCCTTAATTAATTTTACTAGATAGTTTTCTGTTGGTAATTGATCAAAGTGATGAATGGCAAGACAAATGAAAATGTTACTGCTGACAAAATATGGTAAAATCTTATTAATCAGAAGAGGTTTACTTAATGACTAGAATGATTAAACTAGACCACCTTCGTCCTCGAAAGCAACGAACTCATAAGTGTGACCAACCCCAGGATTTTGTAAATACAGCGCACTGTTAATTGTTTGTATTATATAGTTTTTTTGTATTACTCGTACTACATATGCGGCGATGTGTGTAATTATTTGCTCACTATTTTCGGATATTCTAGGCAACGTGCTGCAAAAATTATCGAAATTACGGATACTACTGATAGATACTACAAAACTGAAAAAAAAAACGAAACGTTACTAAACGTTATAACAAAAGAGTTATAGAATATTTTTATAATATTGCTAAGGTCAAAAGGCACCATGTATCTTTGCTGGATTGTAATTATCTTGTGAACGGTTTGCTAGAACCATTACTCCATTATCAGTACTCAGGATGAACTGTTTGAAAGCTTAGGAGCTAAAGGAATAATTGAAACACGGTTTTTTAAATGCCTTCTTTGTTAAAATTTACGTTGATTCTTTTTAATATATATATACATATACATTTACAGATTGGCCAGGCTGCGTACTCAGCATCCAAAGCTGGCGTGGTTGGAATGACATTGCCCATAGCACGAGACCTAGCAAAACAAGGCATCAGGGTTGTTACTATAGCTCCTGGTAAGTCATCTTAAACAATGCTTTGGTAAACCTAGTCATTATAAGAACACATGATTCACGTGAAAGATAAAAATTATGATATAGAATTATCTATGAAAATTGAATTTCATAATATTTCTAATACTTAATAATTATTTATTTATTCCTTTATTATTTACCAGTGGCATCCGAGAATTGTCGGTAGGCACACGGAACTAAATACTGTAAATTTGAAAATTGAAAGAAAATACTGAATGACACCAATAATATATGTTCTCGTTTATAAATGCATAATTAAGTAATACGTGTAAATAAAAATAATCACATTATTCGCAATAGGATCCATTCAGTATTTCTTTTTATAATTTTCAAAATCTGTTTTCTCAATTCCATAATTTTTAGTTACGACATTATTTGGTTTCATGTGCGACATCTACGTTCACTTTACTCAGAGGTATTTTTAAATTCGCGTTAAAAGTTAACGTTCCGTTTTTATTTTGCAACATTACATAATATGTATAGTGTAATTTATGCACTATACATAATATGTATAATGCATAAGTTAACTGTATAATACGATTTTAGAAAAAGTGCTAAATTAAGTTAGCTAAATTAAAAATTTACGTTGACCGTGAGAGCATGCCTGATCTAGGATATTCGCCGTTTTGCCGCTGCTCTCGAGTCGTCATCGCTGCTGCTGCGCTCGACCGCGGCCCACTACAAAGTTTCTGCGGTAATTATCGCTTCTCTGACGCCTTTCTCTCGGAAGTCGCAGTAAGCACAGCTACTAAACAGAATATAAGCTGTAATGGATGTAACAGCCAAATAGTGGGTCAAGACTACATACCGTGCGCTTATGAGGAGTGCAGCAAAATTCTTCACCACTCTTGCGTGAATTTATCAAGCGTGGGAAGTGACGCCAAAAAATTCTGGGCATGCCCTATTTGTACCTGTGTGAAGAGGCGACAGCTAATCAACGCCAATCCGAGGTGATCCAAATGTTACGGTTCGAATGATCCAAACAGACAAGCTCAACAGAAGATTGTGCACTTTCTAAATCCACCGCGTCACCATCAACCGAGCTGACGATGGAGATACGATTGTTACGAGAAGAAGTATCGGCAATGGAGTCGGAGTTTGCTGCTTTCATGGCTGCTCTTGACCGCTGTTTGGAAAGGATTGATGGGCTTTCTACGAACATGACAGCCTAATGATGAAACTCGTCTAATTGCAGCTGAAGAAAGTTTGGGAAAGGTCGCGGTGCTGCACAGAGAACAAACTTGGCTTTGCAGGCCCAAATAAATCATGTTTCGCAGGCAATTCTGAGAAACGAGATCGAGATTTCTGGAGTAACTGTAGCACAAAATGAAAATCCACTTCATTTATCCTTGAAAATGCTAGTAGTTGCTGGTATGAAGCTGTCCATCGCTGACGTGGACTATGTGGCCCGTACAGGGCCCCGTCGTTCAGCATGCAAGGAGCCTTAGCCTTTAGTGGTTTGTTTCCGGTGCGGCGAAACTAGAGACAATTTTTATAAATCTTCAAAGAAGAGGAAACTTTCTACAAAAGATCTCAATATTAGGCCCTTCTAAAACTATCTACAACAATGAACGACTAATTCATGTAAATAGAACTAAAACATAGTGAATCGAGAAGGAAATTCAAGAAGACTAAAGTAGCATCTATTTTCCTTAAAAAGAAGGAAGGAGCTGACGTCAACGTTAGATCCTTCGAGGATATTTGGCGTACACTTGGCGGTGGAGCTTCTAGATCTAAACAGACAGACCCCAATGGGGAATACTGATGTGAAGAAGAACTATCAACATACAACAATAATACAACATAAAGCCATAGCTTTGGATGCTAAGTACGCAGCCTGGCCAATCTGTAAATGTATATGTATGTAATAGTTTTGATGCTCCAGAAGGTTTTGAAAGGAGTTTATTAAAACGTTTCCTTTTTTTAAAGCTTTTTGCTGACAATATTCCACCTGAGGACCAAGTAAGTATTCTAGTGAGACGGCGCTAATATGGACATCAAGATGCTATGACAGGTATGGCACTTGACCTATCATAGCATCTTAATGTCCATATTAGAGCCGTCTCACTAGAATACTTCGTCCTCATGTGGAATACTGTCAGCAAAAAGCTTTAAAAAGGAAATGTTTTAATAAATTCCTTTCGAAGCCTTCTGGAGCATCAAAACTTTGCAAATATCTCAAATCCACTGGACGACTATGATGTAGGCAAACATACATTTTTCTGAAGAAATCCAGCAGTGCAGACTGAAAGAACGAATACTACTCCCTACAATAGTATGTCAGGATCTATATTGGTACTTGAACGAAATAAATCATAGTTCTACAGCATTGTTTGTACAGTGAAAGTGACCCATTTTCTGACCACAAATGCAGCGGATATAGTTTGTATAGCACATCTGAACAACCTTGATCTCTCAAAAATATGGACAACCAAACATTGAAACAAACTTTTACCAAATTCAATTGCGCTAATGGTGTATATAATGTGCTAATGGTGTAGAATATTAACTTCATTTTTTTTAAATAATTTAATTATTTTTAGTTTTGTCTATTCTTGTTGTCCATTGCATAGGCAACATTGACTTTTTAAATTTTATTGTGATCTCATTACCTTTAAAAACTATATTCTGTTAACGCGTTCAGACCGGGATCAAAATGGCCATAATTTGTTGTCCGACGGCGAGACTGATTTTCATATAACCACGGGTCGTAAATAACCAAAATTTTTATCAGGCTGTGTTCTAGTTTTTCTTTCAAATTTCTAGCGATTTTTTCAAATAAACACTATATTAACCTAGATTTTGTCAAATTTCTTATACAATATGAAGCTACTGAGCTCTACTATGGAAATTGGACTATTGCACAGGGCGGGAACGTTAACTTTAGCCTTTCTCTTAAGGCGTCGTAGATTTCTTGGCGTATCAAAAGTCAAGTCACCACGATGGTAAGTCAACAATATATATCAACGATATGATAAAGAGTGTTGCGTGTGAGAGTCGAACGAATCCTGAGAAATTTAGTATCAAAAAAGTGCCTAAATTGTACTATTTAGTACCTGTGTTTAAAAAAATTGTACCTCAATCAGAACGCAATATCAAAGTTACACCCGCGATATTGACATCATAATGGCGGGTGACCTCTTTTTATTTATTAATTATAAAAACTTATTTAAAAAAATTGTACCTTAATAGTACCCTAAACTAAAAGAAACGCCAACTCGGCTTGCTGATTAATTCCTGAGACATAAGACAAAATATGTGAGTCAGGTCTGGTATCTTAACTAAGCCTGTCAAAGGAGACGGGGCAATCGGGGCCAAAATGTAGTAAATTGAAGTATGGTTTAAAAAAAGGGTTATATTCATTGACTTACAAATAAATGGACGACGGGTCTAATACAAAAACCACGAAAAAAATGTCCCAAGTCAACCTATTCGAAATTTAAATTGTTATGTCATCGCAGTATCGCGCTGTCCGTAGAACAAATGAAGACTAAAGCGGAGTGTCGCGCTCTGTATACGATTTTAGTGCCTTACAAGTGCGGACACTTTTTAGCGCGGACCCGACGTCCATATAATTGTAAGTCAATGGTTATATTTTTCTATTTCAAAATTTATAAAACTCAACATAATCGTCAGTCTGGAAACGGAAAAATCTTAAGTTAATTGAGTTAACAAACAAAATATAATATCGATTAAATAATTGTTGATTAATGTGAATGGGTTCAATTAATTAAAAATAGAAAAACATTATGTATCGGATGATTAATTCAATCAAAATAATTATATTCATTAGAGTTAATAGATTCAAAAGTTTTAAACAACAGATACATAGATCACATCGCAAAAATAAAATCTTAACATCGATTCTCATTTACTAATCGATTCTTTAAAGTCGATTTGTTTCATCGGTACAGTATTTTGAGTCTGTGCTGACAGTGACAGCTATTTAATTATTGGTCTTACGTTTCGTGCTTATTTCGTATCATTTTGTGAATTTGTGCGCGTTTTGAATGTTCTCCATCGCTTTATTTCTGTACCACGGTTTCTACAAACATCTCATGTTGTTTACTAAGTACAAACCTTGTTATCATACCGAACATAAAGATTCTCGCTTGTTTGAACTTGTTTGACATGTACTAGTCATTGCGAATTTGACTGCCGGCTTAATGAGCTTAGCGAAAATTTTTTTTTGTTTCGTTTTTTTTCTTTCAACTGTGACATTGGCAAAATCATCAGTTCTCATATTGATGGAGCCATAAAAATAAAAAGTGAAGTGAAGTGATTGGATATTAACACCATGGATCGCTATTTGAATTGTGGTATAGCGACTAGCCCTTGTAATGTTCTAGGTCGACGAGTCTTACTGTCTGAACTGAACAATATTGTCGTTAATTTGTCAATGGCTTGCACCACTATTTGTAAGTACTCGCCTCCTTTTGTTAGCTAACCAGCGTCAACCACGCTGACCTACAGGTATCCTTACTATGTCTTTCTTTACCGTTACTCTTACAAATAACGGAAACTTAAACATTTAAAATGTTCATAAAGATTGTTTACATATATGTAATTATAAACCTAAACCAGCATTATAGTACAGTGATCATGATTTGTTGACATTAAAGCTTTTCCCATCTTTTAGGTGAACAGCAGTGACCATGTTTGCCAAGCTTGCTGGGACTTGCCTCAAAAACCAACTGTTGATGCACTGAGACAATTTTACAACATTTACTACAAACACTTGTCTCTGCTGTGGGCTCTCTCTTGTGTCATAAGTCAGCTGTAACCACACACAATTCTTCTTCACATGGACTCATCTCGACAATATATCTCGATAATTTGTAATGGTATAAAATAACATATTATGCCTTAAACTGTAAGTTAAATCAGTTTACATGTTTTTATAACTTGTTTTACGGTAAGCTAGATTAGATTTTTTAAATATTTAAGTGATATGTATGTTTGTTGCAGGTAGAGGTAGCAAGTCGTACTTGTTGGGTGGCTGCTGATAGAGCTGCTGACCATGTAGTCTTAGGCTCATTCAAAGGCACAAGATCTTCCCACTGAGCCTCCAAATAAAAAATTTTGAAACAACCAACCTAAACCTACTACTGTGTAATACCAGACTTCTATGAGAGCCATGGAAACAGAAAGTTGATGCTTTATTGAAGGATGCCATAGAACACAGATACAGAGTTTCACTTTCTGCTAGAAGAATGTTGTTCAGTCAGTATACATAAATATTATATCCCTGGGAATAATCATGTTTATGATTGACATTTGATTATTGAAGCATAGATCTAGACAAGTACAGAATTCCACTGCAAAGCATATCCAGGACGTGATGTTGCTGTAAGATGTTCTAGGTCTAGGGTTACTGCATCTTGAGAAAATAGATTATATGGAAGACCTAGGCGCATATACATGGATTGGCTTGTATAGTCTCATCAACTGCGCAATGATGATTCTTAGTTATTGAAATCAAGAGCAACCCTATCTTTAGCAGCATATTTGATTAATCTTAGAACTGGGGATTTGGAATATAATTGAAGATGAATTAAAAATTAATGAAAAAATGTTTTTCCGTTTAAATGTCACATCCTTACCCATGATCTTTTGAATTTATGTATGATGTTTGAGTTTCCTAACATCCTCCACTCTACAAATATATAACTGTCTATACAGCGTTATTTGTAAAATACTGACAACCTTCCAGGACCATATTACTAACATCATAAGCAACAACTTTTAATAATTCATCACATTTTACTTTCATACAAAAATATAAATGTTTAAATAGATCGCTCTAAATGGTAATAACTCTGTTGTATAAAAAGCAAGAGCGCGGGTAAGGGTTTTCGGGAAAGACTCATGCCTGTTTGAACTCACTACCAGATACAGATCTAAAAAGTGTCATATAGTACAACAAAAACTTAAAAGTTTAATTTTGATAAATAATGTTTTCTAAAAAGTCATAGAACAAAAATTGTTGTAAATGATGTCAGTAACACAGTCCTGTGAGGTTGTTAGTATTTTAAAAATATCTCGGTATATAAAAAACAACAAATGCACTACAAAAATCAGCTGTTAAGTGTAAGTTGTTACATAACCTCACTTTTAATAAACCTCTTATAACTCTGCTCTCAGACTGCCAAAATCCGCATAATTTTCAGTGATCGTATTACTATATATAAGTTATTAATTGATACAATTTTCATCTTCCTAGCGTAGGTATCGGTCTCCTTTAGTACCAAATAAATGTACTTAAATTGTGCTATTTAGTACTCTGCTTAAAAAATTGTACCTCTGTCAAAGCGAAATTGTAGCGACATCAAAAGTATATAATTTTCTTCTTCTATTTTATGATGCATTTTCACCCATTTATTTAAGTACGTAAAGATCTCACCATACACCCTCTTCATATATAGTCAGATTTTGGACGCATAACGGAAATAATAAATCAGCTTAGGTTAGGCTTGTTTCATAATATTCCTAAAAAAATTTCTGCCGCAAATTACTTTCGGTATTATGGAAATTCGCGCTATGCAGTGTGTCTCTTTCAAATGGGACAGTATGGACAAATCGGAAACTGTAGGAAACACAAGGAAATTATTTTAGGAACCATTTCCTTTTTTTAAATCTTGTTTAAAGATTTGGTAAAAAAAATAATTTAACCTATCACAGCAGATGAGCGAAATCAGACAATCGTGGGTACACAAACACACCTGAAACACCATTGAAATACAGATTCTTTGCTTACGTTTGTAGATATGTATGGGAAGAAGTATTTAAGAATTTCTAATAGTATTATCATAGTAATGTAGGAATTATAGCGATAATCATCTGTGTCAGTTTTTCATATCTCGATCGATCATCGTAACAAATAATTGTCATTTCCAATAGTAAATATCAGCGCTTAGGACGGAAGGCGCTACTAGCGTTATTTCTCTTTATTTCTGTTGGAAGTTATGACGTGCTGTAAGAAATGTATCCATGTTTCGAATTTCTAGATTCCAACTAGACGTTAACTCAAAGTTTCATAATCTCGAAAACCGATTTATAACTAAAGGGTGAATTTCACTTTCCGAATTTCAATAGCACTTTTTAAGTGATTTTTGTTAAACCCTTTTTTTTTTGGTTTTAAGATTTTAAATGTACAAATTAGTTCAAGCAATGTCAATAATTATAAAATTACAGAAATATTTAATTTAAATGCAACAAAAAACTATATTTTAGGTCACACGAATGAGATTGCAGTAACACGAATGATTTTCTCATAAAGGTAAATGAGAAAGACTAACTAAGGTAATCAGAAATTATTATTACAATGTTGTTAAATGTTCTTTTGTGAACTATAAAATACACATTTTATCGTTCACAAAAGACCATTTAACAACATTTAACATGTAACAAATATTTTAATATAACTTGTATCAAAATCCTTCTCGTCCGTGTAAGACCATCTATCTATCTATATCTAATTAATAAATAAATCTAAATAAGTATTTTGTTAATGTCATATAATCTTTGTTGTACATCAATATATCGTCATCACCACCATCATCGTCATGATCACCATTATCATCAGCATCATTACCGTTCACATCATCATCACTGCAATAATCATCGTCATCATCACCACCATCATCATCGTCACTACCGTCATCACCACCACTATCACCATCTAATTATTATATTTCAAATAAATGTTCGGCTTAAAGTATACTATGTGACTTAAAAGTAGACAAGAATGAGAGCGACAATAATATTTGGATACATTTTTAATTGTCAAGTTGGTAAAATATGCTGGACCGTTATAAAAGTACATGGATTTTAAAGTTCCCTTTGTCTGATTGATGTACAATAAAGTTTATAAAACTATTACTTAATACTTATTTAGATAGATTGCTTTACATGAATGAGAACGATTTAGTCACTAGCGCTGAAATTGGTATTTAAGTCGATTTTTTGGTAAAACGGAGATGTACAGGTTACTTCACTGTGTACACTCCAATCCGAGAGGAGCCCCTTCTCACGTGTGCGAATGGTGAAGGTTATGCGGTAAGAACTTGTTATTAGGAGACTTTTAGTTGAATTGACACTAATAAGAAAAATTGAAACACATTTTGTATTCCCAAGAAAACATGTTCGTTTATAATAAATTGGAAAGTTACGGTATGCATTCGACGTGTAAGTTATTAAAGTTTATAATAAGGCGAATTAAGTAAATTAAGGCGACGTGGAACCGGCTCCCATGAATAAGAAATTGCCCATTTTTTTCATTTTATTTATTACTGTGACGTAGTAAAGTAATCTTTTTATGTGTAACACAGACTAAGTAAGCAAGCAATCATATTAAATAAATAATGCTTAGCATTCATGTAATAACATGAAAGTTATTGAAAGGGACACATTTTTGGAGGTTATCTGAAAACGACACAAAACCGTTAATGCTTTTAGGGGATTTTGGTTGCTTATTACAAACAAACGATTAAGTTAGTTTGTTTTGTAACATTCCTAAAATAACATAAAAAAGCACATTTGGGATTGTAAACATTACTTCGGGCGAATGTATTTTCGGAGTTCTGATTGATAACTCCAAAGAGTAAAACGAATACAACAATATTTTGTTACTTATTTATTACTAACATTTAATAAAAAGTCATTGTAAAAATAAGATTAACATTAAATCAACTCTATAGTTTCTTTGTTCTAAATCTAAATATTTCAATCGCTTGTGGTTCGAAAATTGAAATTGACGTAACGGGTCTCTTTCTGTCTTGCGCATGTCTTGTGTAGGATAAGGACAGTTAGCTATTTGGTTATTTTTATTGCTTTTGTAATTTATGTGTATTGTATGTATATACTCGTATATATACTTTCCATGTCCATGAAGTACTGCATGTTTTTAATATATAATATTTCATATATAATAAATAAATTATGAACAGGTGCTTGTCAACTTTTCCAGCAAAACAAGGATTAATACTAGTATTTGAAGAGGCTGTATAGTGGAACCTTTGCCTACCCAAATAAATGGTTGAGAACGTATAAACAAAATTACGACAAAGGTAGTACCATAGTAGAGATGAGATTAGCATTATATTCGCATAGCACACTAAATGCTAAATTTTTATAGCGCGCTACTTAACGTGTTAAAATTATAATTTTTAGCAGCTCAAGGTCGTGTGATAATGTAACGAATAGAAAGTGAAATAGTTGACGTGCGCTAACTTTAAGTATAGCATCTATGATCTATCTATAGAATAGTTTACAGTTTTTTATGGTTAATTACGACATACTTCATTTGTTTTGTGACTATTACATAATATGGTGGTTACAGGTTATAGACGATAAATCAATGAGCTTCCCTTCATATTTTAACAATTTACTATTTACAATTTGCACAAAACTTTACACTTTTATGGTTATTTACAGTAAATTACACTCACAATAATTAATAATAACGCACATACTCGTACTTTTATATACAAAAATTACAACGACTTATTTATTAAACAAACGCTAAACTAAGCAAATAAATCCAAGAACTTAATTATATCTTAATTTAAATCGCTTCACCGGACGAAATTTTGCTAACGTTCCACCATTAGCTCTAAATCGTATTAAAACGTAACCAAAATTGTAAATTAGAACATAACTACAATTATAATACTTGCTAAGTGCTAAATATAGCATTAGCGCTTAGCGTACTCAAACGTGAAATTTAAAATCAATAAACCAAGCAGCTATTTCGCGTTTCGCACTAAACGTTAAATGCTACAAATAATATGTGAAAATATTTCACGTTATAATTGTTTCAACCAATGACAAGAGCCGCAATTTTCACATAGAATTTAGTGCCATCTATGAAATATTAAGGAAGATAACTCAAGACGAAGAAGGATTTTGTTTGTTAGCTGCGTAAGTAAAGCACGGATAGATTGATGGTATGGCATTGAAATATTGTAAAATTATGTCGCTGCCATCTGGCATTTGGTTTAATTTTCTTAACGTACTTTATTTTTATTTTTATTATTTTATTTTAGCACTTTTCAGTCTTTCAAATTATAATTGCTATAATTGTTTTTTAATTTAACGTTATAATTTGAGCTATATATTATATTAACCATCTCTAGACCATAGTAGCTGTGTTAGTAGAATAAGTAGGGAAAATCCGTACCGAATAATAACGAAATACGACGTTGAGACGACCAGTGTCGTGCAACGCTAGAGCACACTTAGGTTATGCAAATGTGTGCGTCCGTACATAGCGAGTACACATACAAGACGCGTGACGTTTAAAATGGAGTTGAAGAAATATTATTTGCACCCATAGATATAGGAAAAAGGGGAGATATGTCAATGACGCTATGTAAGATCGGGTACCGACGTCGCCACTTTTTAACTTGTGTGCAATTCAAACTTTACGCTCTATTATCTACTACCATAACTTAAAGATTTTGATTGGGTAGGGCTTAAAACGTGAAAACGACGAAAGACAATTTTAAAATTTAACAAAATTAAACTTACAGTCACTTGAGTAAGAGTTATATTACAATATTTCAGTATTTTTTTCATCCTGGTTCAGCCATTCACCATCAGGTGGCGTTTTAGTAAAAATGCTACTAGTATATAATAGCTAACTATTACACGTTAGATGGCACTGAAACACATTTATCGTTACACTAAGAACTCATGGAGCGATTTTCACCCGCGTCTTGCGCGGGACTGCAGCATCTGTAGAGTGTAATAGTTAAGTATGTAAAACTAGTAACACATTTTACGGCGCGTTTTACGCCTGTAGTGGTGACGGTTGCTCGCGGTTGCCGCGGCGGGCTAGGAGTTGAACCGCGCAAGACGCGATCACCTGCGCGATTGGCGGCTGTCGTCGCCCGCGCACTTTGGCGGTCGGTTCACGCGTAATATAGTGCAGACGCACACGGGGTGAGTTCTCTATTAACCGCGCGACTTGCAATTAACTCCCACCAACTTCGCCGTCCGTTCCGCAATCGCAACGGTTTCGTGGCCGCAACCGCGGCGGCTACATGCCCGCACCAACTTGCAGGGTCGTGAGTATTGAAATAAAACCGCTGTATAGCAGCACCGGCGGGCGCGGATGGAAACCGTTCCGTGAATTGTTAACCTTATTAACCTTAAATTGACGCTACTCAACGAGGGATGTGGTCCTACCTATTCGATAGATAGAAACCATGTGGCTGTTTTTAATATTAAATAAATATTCCATTTTTCATGCACTGGTACTGGTATATTATTAAATTAATATAAATTATTATTATTTTCTTAATGGCGGTCACTAAGTTTTGGCCGCCATTAAGGCTAGTTTTATAATATAAAAAATATGGCGATTGTCGCCAGCGTCAGTTTTTCAGCGTCAGATTTTATTTTATTTATTTTTTAAATGCATTTGCTATGGAAATTTAAACAAAGTCAGAAATAGTAATAAGAAAACCAATCTTTCGGTTTTCCTGCAGCCTAACCCAACCTTCTTTTAATTTGGCTCATTGGAAAAACTTAAAAATTAAAAATACGTTTGATCTACGAATATAATGGAATTTAACTATCGAAATTATCTAAAACAATAATACATTTCTACATTTTTCTTCAAGCAACAGCAACGTTCAAATTGACATGAAATTGAAACGGTTGTCCGAAATATGAGTTGTGTTAAAGTTACTCGAAACAAAATGTTTAGTAATAATAATAATAAAATAAAAGAAATCAATTTAACGTTTAATGCTTTTCGCCTCGATATTTTAGGGTCTTTAATCACAAAAATCATAGTAAGAAATTCAAACATTTCAGTAAAAATTTATTTTCGATAAACATCAGTTGTCGTAAATGAACATCACTATATTTGAGTCTAGAAATTTCTATGGAGACAAAAAGAAAACATTGAATAATAATAGAAATAGTAACTAAAAATGCAAATAGCCGGTGTTATCTCACTGGTTTTAAATTTTTGTTTTCACTCTAATTTTTACAAAGTGTATCGCTACAACTTGCCATTTTCACGTTTTACGAGAGATCTTGTATGTACACACGCCAGCACATCAAGCTACACATTGACGTATCTTGTTCCGTTGCAATTGAGGCGATTTTCGAACAAAAATGTGTAGTCTGATGTGCCGTTGTCCGTACAACGATCGCCATGTCACTGTGACGATGTACAAACATCGTCACAGTGACATGGCGATCGTGTCGATCAATATGATCATCGAGGCGACACGAACCACTCCCCCGTACCAAATCTCCCCTTTTTTTCTAAATCTATATTTGCACCCATGAATGTTATCTCTTATAACGGCTTGTCCTTTATTAAAATAGAGTAATAAAACCATTAACACTTCTTTTACTTAAAGCGTTCAAGGATTTAACGATTTTGTTCTTAGTACCAGGCATGGGTGCGCTAAATGCTTTTTTGAATTGTAGTGTTCAATTATTTCTTTACTCAACAGTTCGTTTTATTTTTACCAGTGTAGTAGGTACTTCGTAAAATACCGACTGCCGAGTCTTTTGTTACTAATTCAACAAGTTATTTACGTAAGTTTAGAATTAAGTGCCAATGCGTAATAGTATTTAAACTAGGTGTTTGCACTATACAGATGGAACTTGCGTTACCGAGACGGTTCACTCTTTTGTCCTATTGTACTCTAAAGATGAAGCGATAAGACGAATCGATGCAAATAATGTTTCGCAAACTATACCATACTTGTTCTTATTCTACAGTGGTAGCACTTTTGATGTCGCTATTATTTCGTTCTAATAGAGGTACAATTTTTTTTGAGCAGAGGTACCTACAGGGTCAAGAGCACGTTGACGTGCTTGACACTTAATACTTAAATCCAACTCTATGCCACTTACGATAAGAACAGTCCAAAGTGTCAAGCTTGATGTGTCTTGACTGTACTAAATAGTACGATTTAAGTACATTTTATTTGGTACTAAAATGTCAGGATTCGTTAAGATACGCCCGCCCTTCTGACTCTCACAAATTTTGTCTTATTTCTCAGGAACTAATCAGCAAGCAGAGTTGTTTTTTGTGAGGCCGAGTCTTTCAGTTTAGGGTACTATTAAAGTTTAATTCTTTGGAATAATAAGTTTTTATAGTTAATAAATAAGAATTGATAATTTGAGGTACACCCGCCTCTCTGATGTCAATATGGCGGGTATACATTTGATATTGCTTTAAAGTCGTTCTGATGGAGGTATAATTTTTTAAATCACAGGTACTAAATAGTACAATTTAGGTATATGTTTTTGGTACTAAATTTGTTAGGATTCGTTACGATACACCCGCCATTCAGACTCCCCCAGTTGCGTGACCACCGGTGGTACACTAAACCTTACAGGCCAGTTGTCTATGCTCCATCGATGGTGCACCCCGAGATGAACGTAAGTTAGGCAACGAATATACGATTCATGTGGGGAGGTGTTTGACGTATTGGTAAATTTTAAGAATGAATTTTACTTTATCCAAGGATATTATACTTTCTCCGCAGGCCTTTCATTTGGAATTTGTAAAGTGCACATACATACGGTTGTCTCACGAGCAGGGCCCAAGTCTGTTAATTTTAAATCATCTCAGTTGTGTGTCGTTAGAGTGCCAATGGCAGGACTTGGTACGTTTGGTATTTGATCTTCAATGGCGATGAAATGAAATGAAATTGCTGATTAAGAGATAAAAATTAAAATATGCATAGCAATTTCCATGGTAGTTTTAGTAAGGCAACATCGATCGTTAGTGATAGAACAAATGAATGCTATCACTGCCTTTCCGCTGACACTCTATTGAGACTCTATTGCTATTGCAACTAGATTTTAGCAGAATAGCAAATATAATAATTGCAATATAATTTCAATGGAGTCTCAATGTAATTACAAAGTGTTGTGAAAATTAGCAGAAATAGGCCCGAAATTTCAAAAACATGTCAACAGTGTTTTAGAAAAGACTCTAATAATAGTACCACACCGGCGTTGCGCCTTCTGGTAAGAAAGAGTCCTAAAAGAAGAAATTCTTTGAACATTCAAAATGTTTGACTATTTTCCTATTTGTAAGCAAATCTATTGACAGATCCTCAAAGTATTAATTTCATTGTAATTTTATTTTAAATATTTTTGTTTTATTGTAATTCAATATTTTATAGGCTTGTTCCGTACTTCAATGCTGTCGCAGTTACCAGAACCTGCAATCAAAATGCTGGAAGCATCCGTGCCTTTCCCGTCTCGATTGGGGCATCCCCATGAATACGCCGTCCTTGTACAAAGCATAATTGAAAACCCCATGCTCAATGGTGAAACTATAAGGCTCGACGGTTCTATAAGAATGCAACCTTAAAGAAAATGAGTGAGTTGGTCTGGTGTCATGTGTAGTATTATAAGAAAATTAAAGAGTTTTTCCTACTTGTGCAAGTACTTTCTTAATAAAAAATATTTGTAATGAAAAACCACTGTAAAATGTATGATGCAAGTTTACGACCGTGCTCGCAATACGATTATGATTATACATATAGTAATTGGATGTAGAACAATACCAAATAAAGACTCTTTTATTTAAACGAAAATATCATTTATTTCTACATTAACGAGCGGCAGCTTGAGCCCTCGCCCTCGCCGCCTGCGCGTACGTGCGTCTCACAATATTTATTAATCACCAAGGAAATAAATACACTGACGATGCACGAGCAACCTCTCACACCGCCTTATACATGTATCTATGATGCCATCTAATACATCATCATGTTTACCATTAAAATTTAATGACACCACTAAACAATATTGACAATAAAATAATTTTAAAGATTTAGAGAACAATAACTATTATTTTTAATGATGTAATGTGAGGTAATGACACGGTACAAATGTGGCTGTGGTCGACATCGGCTACGCCACTCTAACTGAGCGCGGCGAACATGAGCAGTTAGAGGTTTTACACCGTTGACTTGTTGCCAACTGTGTAGACTAACAACTGCCTCAAATTGAATCTGATAGTCTCCTGTACAACAATGAATTAACAGTTCACATGTATTGCGGAATGGATATCAAGCAAATTTGTTTTAATATTACTTATTACCAATTACAACATACCAGTGATGTCAATTATAGTGATGTGACGTTTATGTTTATTTCCGTTTTAGTTCAACTCGTCTTCAGTTAAAATGAAGGTAGCCTCACAATAAGCATTTTGATTTTATCAGGTGTACTTATGCATTTATTAATTACTATACATATAACGGTCACTGGACCATGATGCGAGGGATGTGTTCCACCGTGACGTGGAGACGCCTGGGCAATGCGCACCTCGGGCATTTTGTGCCTGATCAATGATCTCGTATGCTTATCACGGCGCTTTGAGCGCGTATGACTTATACCCGTAGCGGCAGCCCACCTTGGCGACAAACCCGAGCGCCTCCAACGACTGAACAAGTAACACATACATAAATAGCCATACATCTATGGTAAACGATTAAACTTTATTAACAGCAAAAATGCAACATTGCATTGATACTTGCCAACCCCACATTTTCAGGTTCAACAATAACCATTTGAATGAACGTTGTATAACTCGTCCTACCTATATGTACAATTAACAACATAGAACTAACACGGCTCGCGAAATAAAGTTAGGTGCAACAGAAGTAATCGCTTAGGTACTTACGATCTTACAGCTAATATGAACCCATCAGGCTGAGGCCTGTCGATTCGCTCAAATTCACTTCCTCACATAAACTTAAACCGAGAGAATACTATACACAGACTACAGATAAACAACATCGACTGAGATTAATTATTCTAACTTATCGTTAATGAACAACAAAGTGGTTAAATTACAAAAGTAACGCAATCGTCGACACGTGCATAAGCGTTACAATTAGTTTCATTTTGGAATGTGTGCGACGCGCATTTACCCTCCCATCTTTACTACTGATCGCCAGAATGACAAAGGTAAGCTACACGAAGGGGGTAGCAGGCGGGTCGTGGGCCTAAAGGCCGGGTGGCGTCAGAGGGCTACTTGCATTAGGTTTATGCTATATTTGTCCGTACGATTCAAAACAGCGCCCATACTCACAGCAATGTTTTGATGGGATGAATTTTTTAGCAAAGTTGGTGAAGCATGGTGATAAACGTAGCATAATCCTTTACTCTGCGCGGGCGAATCTGAGCGAAGTAACAGCGCCAAAAATGGCCGCGGAACGCTTGCTGACCTGACGAGCAGCACTTGCGGGCTGGTACCAGCGACGCAGAGCTGCAGTTCAGATCGAGCACAGTGAGCGTCATTCGACTCCGCGCACGCGCTACTATTATATACTCGTCACTTACTCTCTAATTGAACTCAAAATGTACATTTACATAGAACACTCATTGTGTATCTTAATAGTTTAAAATACTTACAACTTTAATTCATAAATATAGATATTACTTACAACATACATTAACGTACAACCTAAACCTTAAGACGTAAATAGTAGGTTTAAACTTTTATGGTTTTAACTCTATCAATTTTAACAAAAATGTTTGTCGATAAAATATAATATACAGTTAGTGAAAGATGAAGAAGTGGCAGTTAAGCAGACCAATGAAAATAAATAATTATGAACACTGGCACCTTAATATTGAACCATTTATTGTCTAACTTCGCTGTTGAAAGAAAAGAAAAACTACTATAGGGTGCACAAAAATCGAAGGTTGTACTTGCGCTAGGAGCGGCGCAAAGACCGCAGACTTTTGCACCGTTCGAGCCTACGGAGAACTGTTACAAACCCTGTAAGATCACTTAACTAATGGCACACGACACTGTAACCTTGCACTGCGTCACCACGACCTGTGGTAGTGCATTCAATACTGCACACCATAAAACATTATACCATAATTACACAATATATTATAATAATAATATGAATAAATATGTACGTGATTTTATTTACATAATTGTCTTTCAAATGTTAGATAGGTGTATAACATAATTAAATTAGGATTTACATAAAAACAAATACGTAATATGTATGTAAATAATTAATAAATCTTAAATATACTTTATAAATTGTTAGAAAAAGGAAAATGAGTTAGTAAGTACTTTTCTGTAAATAAGTTGTGAATTATTGATTAATAATACTTTATGGGGATAATAAAGTGCATGAATAAACACGAATATTTATCAAAAACAGGTTAATTACCTATGCAATTTTTTATGCATTGTTATTTTGATGGCATTACATTATGTATGCGTCGAACTGGTTCCTTGTATTAGAAATGTGTTCACATTGCATTGAAATATTTATACATATACAATAATACTCGAATATATTAACATAGTATGTAGGTATATGTAATAAAATCACGTTAAATACTGTATAAATGGTAACATGAACTGGTAAGTTAAAATCCACAGAACTAATAAAAGGAATCCAAATTAAGGTAAACGGTTAATGAACGGTGCTTGTTGGTTAACTGCTTAAATTATAACACAATGTAACACTAAGGTGCATAGAAAAAACTGACCCACTTTTAAATACGATCCCATCGTCTCAATATAAGGTCCATTTTAAAGCTGCAAAGGACAAAAAAGGTAATCTCTTTAATAATTGGTCACCCTCTGTTGCGCCCCTAAAGTAGGGACAAATAAGAGCCACACAGCCTAATGTACCTACCTATGTCATACCATCACAGATCAGCTTTGCTTTTTGATAAAGCGCTTACTTGTGAAGCTGCGAGAGCAACTTTTAAGGCATATGCGACTATTTACGCGTGCAATTAACGAAAATTGCTATTTAAATGAAATCTATTTACACATAACACTTTGCACTGTTAATACCAATTTAAATTAGGTACTTTAGTCGCGGAATTAATCATATTTGAAGGGCGTGATTTTGTTGAAATCGCAGCTTCACATGTAGAGTGTACTATTTTATTAAATATTATGTTTTAGCAATAACAAGATATTACTTACACATGTGGGGTTTCTATCTGATTCTAATTGCAAGTATTTACAGAGAAATCGAAATATATGTATATTATATGTGGTCGAGTAGTGTTATCACTTATGTGCATGATCAAAGATTGGTAATAAGCACAGTTACGACATAAGACTTACTATATTCTGTCAAATCCTATTTCAAGTAAATATACTTTATAAAACTTTCAACAGCAATGACAAAACCAACCGAAATTACTTGTATATAATTGGTATAACAATATAAACAAATTGTACCACAACGTCGTTAAAGGAACTCCGCTTGAGTTAAAATAGGTACCAAATCCCTTTCTATTGAACATTACATAACATCATAAAACTTCCTAATAACATTTACATCTATCATACAGGTTGATAACAAAATCGATATATATTGATTGTTCCATATTCATCAACTAATCTGAATTGAATCCATAAAAGATCCAGAATGTCACGATGATAAAGTTATAGTGTTCACTGGACGGTGTAGACAAAATATGGTGCTGTTATGCATAAACCCTAGGTAGGCAACTAAGCCAATTAATGGAAAACATACAATATCTACTCGTTGACGTGGCCTACTACATACATTCGCACTTGGTGCAATGATCCTATTATAAGTTTACTACATAAACATTCATTCCTAAATACAAACCATTAATCACATTTTCGATAAACTGAAATTCTTCACATACACAAAGTAGTCAGGATTTGACGACTCGACGTAACGAAGGTCGACACATAACTTTTTCTAACTCGCACACTGGCTTAAACTACCACGCCAGTCGAGTGTCCTTTCCTAACGACACTTACGAAATCATTATAAAAATAAAACGTTCTCAAATTAAATTTGCAACGTATCCTGTGGGTATCATACATATCTTTACACAATTATCTTGTTTCACATATAATAATAATATTATTTTGTATATTCATGTTCACTTTTTAAGTTGATGATTACACTTGTTTACATACTCTACTATATTTTTATTTATGTTAGAAAAATACGAAACCATGTACTTTCAGTTAACATATTATATATGTTAATAAAGAACAATATGTTTTATAAAAATACATCATCTTCCACGACCATTGGCCGGTAGACGCTAGTACCCATACATTATTAAAAATTTATGATTTAAGGCTTTTTGCACGTATGTTGTGAAATTACTATACATATTTTTACAAGTAGAATTATATATTTTTAACTTGTTTAATTATTTATAATATTACATTATTATTTGTACTGGTACGTCCAATAAAAATAATTCGGGGTTAATGTGGTCGCCCAAGACAAAAAAAACGGGACTATCGTTTATTTACATACTGAAAGATATTATAAAAATAACAACAGAAACCACAGTTTCTCATTGTCCAAATAGACGAACGGCCTTACTATTACGCACGCAGTAAGTTACAAGGGAGTGCAGTGTCGTCACTTAAAAAAATTGATATTTAAAACCATATTGATTTTTGGTCTAGCCTAGCGCAACCGCATTAACTACCTTTATATTTATTTTAACATTCAGATAAACATTTAAGGGAATAACTGCCAATTTTTAACATGAATTCGATATTTTTAAACACATAGTTAATACATATTTTTAAGAATAATTTTATTTTCAAATATCAACTTTCTATAAAATCTGAAACACCACAAGCCATAACTATGTATATTGCGCCAGTTTAATTTCTCGTACGAACGAATCCACAATGGAATCACATTCACCCCAAGGGACAGTAAGCTAAGAACTTCTTATATCAGTGAAGACAGATATACATCGATTGCAAAGTGCGTAATCTTAAAAGAAGATAATAATGTATATTGTTAGTAACGAACGTGTAATATGTATAATGAAAACGGGCGGGCGACTGGAGCCATGCAGCCCGGCAGCCCACTCGCTACATAATTGCATGTATGTACTGCAATAAAACTAACCATTTATTATACATATCATCTCAACTAACATTAAAATGGTTTTCTCCAAATTTCTTCGTTTATAATCACAGACGCTTTCCTAAAATATGTATTGTAATATTTCCTCTGCTTCGCACCGGAGTTTAAGAGAACCTAGTTTATACAATGTACTTATTCAATTTTGAAGTAACACGTTTTATACTGCTAAATAAATTAACCGTAGCTACACAAGACTGGTGTATAATATTTTTGTAAATTTATGTTACAGAAATAAGGTAGATAAATATTTGTTTTATCTGTATTCGGACTAGGCACGCTCGGCACCACCGGCCGGCGCTCGGCGCAATAACTTATTAAATTTAATCACACACCAAGTTAAAAACTAAAGCTAATTAATAAGTAATATTTGTTGTGTAACATTCTATCGGATGCGGTATTGATTGCGCTTGGCGCATCTTCGATCTTCTCCTTATTCTTCACTGGGATTTCAAGATCTGGAAGCAGAAATCGCCAACAAGTATTTTATTACATATTTATAAATGTCCCTGGCTGCACTGCCGATGGGACGTCTGGGCAGCTGTTGCTGGTCAGGCCACTTACGACTGTTACACTTCAAAGCACGTTTTAAGTGGCAGTCCAAAATAATGGAGATAAGTCAGAACATAATTGGAATAATCAAGCGAAAGCACGCGGAACAGGACGAGTACGCTAGCGAACCAAAAATAGTATGATAGCTACACATAATAAAACTAAACTTGCATTTCGGAAAACTAAATTTTTTTGAAAGTACAGTCAGTATCTGTTCACGTGTGATCTGCTAAAACTATATATATATATATATATAAGAACAAGAATTAGAATAATTGTAGATTTTATTTTACCGAATTTAACATAAGTGCAGAACAGAGATTCATTTTACTATAAAATTAATAAAATCAAATGGTGATGCGTATTTTAGAAGAGCATGCAATGCTGTGGGCTACTGTAACGACTCGCTTTAAATGAACAAAATTGTAAACTTGTAAACGTAATTTATTTCATTCAAAAAGTAGAGCCAGAATTGTAGACAAGGCCGTGCTGCCCTTTCGCAATAAAGAATAAATAATAGATGTCATTTTATGAGTTAAAACCGTACAGATCCTTACAGGTAATAGCAACGTTCTTAATTGAGAGTAAAATTATGGAAAGTGAGACAACATTGGCTTAGCGAGTGTATAAAAGAAATGATAAAATAAAAGAAATAAGCCGCATTCCCCGGTTACTTATGTTTTTGTAAGATTACTTAATCCCCAAAAACTCGTGCCATAGTCTTGAAATGAATTAAAATGAGCAGGTGCATATTTGAGTACAGTATATACAGGTGTTCTCATACATTATGAATGCTTACTCTAGATGGGTGAATGCGGCTCAATCGTGTCGCTTGGCAGGAAACCGCACCTGATACAAAGAGCAAGTCTTATATACCACAACAACACTCTTAGCGCTATAATATCCTGTTTCCTGTACTAACACCAAAGCACAATTATCTTCCTTACAGCTTTATCGACGCTGCCTAGATTCACGAGAATCTCTCTAAAATATATCTCTAGAGCGACGCTGTCTTTAACGTAAGAGATAAAACTATTCAACTCAATTATCTCATTTACTTTGTAATCACCTGCCAAGCTTTCACTGTTATCTGTTGTACTATAAATACGCTTAATTAATTAACGAAGACGTTTCCACAGAAATGTTTTTCGTATTCTGAAGTAGACCTCGTGTACATTATGAGCCAATTGGTCATGGTTAAATTAATTGAGGAACATAATAACGACACAACATACGATGTGTGTCGTGCAATGTCTCTAGGGTTACTACCCTGTTGGAACCTACAAGCACAATGTGCCATGAATATAATCGTATATTTTTAATATACACAAACATTAGAAGTATCCTTATTTTAAAACTAGACTCGTTTCGAATTATTTTTTGTACAGTTTTACGAATTACTGTTTGTGACATGTTGCGTTAATATTTGTGTCAATATAATATTACTAAATTAGGATTGCATACATTTTACACCACAGACATATATCTAGATAGACGCCGCAAGTGTACGTACTTTGCGTGCCCAAAGTAAGTGAAATTCACTTACTTGCCGCTGCTACACTTAGTGTCGTATTCCAGAACTGTACTCAATGTTCAAGTCAGGATTTGAGCAGACTTGAGTATGATTTCGAGCACTGGAAATACGACCCTAATGGCAAGGACTTGAGTATGATTTCTAGTTCTTTGAATCATACTCAAGTCCTGACTTGAGCAGACTTGAGTATGATTTCAAGCACTGGAAATACAACCGTAATGGCAAGACTTGAGTATGATTTTCAGTGCTTTAAATCATACTAAGTCCTGACTTGAGCGTTAAGTAGAGTTCTGGAATACGACCCTTAGAACGCGCTCGACCGTTATCGTAGATAAACACCAATCGAAAACGCGAAAAGTGCATAAATTGTGCCATTATAAACTGCAAAAGCACCATAACTGTGGGTAAACAGGGACCTCAAGTGATTTTGTAATCAGAAAATGCATAATTTATTTTAAAAACAATTATTTTGGTTTTGCATGAATTTCGGGAAAACAAATATGCAACAGAGTGTATGCTTCATGATTTGTAATACATTGCGGCTTTTAATTGGTGCGATATATTTGTGATCCTTTGTTAATACGCCATGAATATCAACGAACGCACTTTTGTATAATGCATTCAGTTTCGTGGTACGGCCGCTTGTACATTTCTTTGGCCAAATTTAACATTTAGGGTCGTATTCTACAACTCTACTCAATGCTCATGTCAGGATTTCAGTATGGTTTAAAGCACTCAAAATCATACTCAAGTCCCTGCCATTACGGTCGTATTTCCAGTGCTTGAAATCATACTCAGATTCTGACTTGAGCATTGAGTAGAGTTCTGGAATACGACACTTAGTGATGTATATACGTTAGACAACAGTGTTCTCGATTCTGATCGATTTTGAAAACGACGACGAAAATTTTTATGACCATAGCAATATTGTAAAAATTATAATATTATAAAAAATATAATATTGCTATTCTATAACTCTTTTGTTATGAAGTTTAGTAACGTTTCGTTTTTTTTTTTCAGTTTTGTAGTATAGATTATCAGTAATAATAATTATCGATAATTTTTGCAGCACGTTGCCTCGAATGTCCGAATATAGTGAGCAAATAATTACATACATCGCCGGATATGTAGTAACAGTAATACAAAAAAATATATAATGCAAAGAATTAACAGTGCCCTGTCTTTATAAAAACCTGGAGATGGTCATACGTATAAGTTCGTTGCTTTCGAGGACGAAGGTGGTCTAGTTTATCCCATCTAAGATGCTATCCAAATATGAAGAGTAGCACAGTTAGAAATCCGAGAAATAATATACAAATCACAAAAATTTCACACGAGGTCGTCATTAAGTAAACCTCATCTTATTAAGATTTTACCATATTATGTCAGCAGTAACATTTTCATTTGTCTTGTCATTCATCAATTTGATCGATTGAAAACCATTTAGTAAAATTAGTTAAGGCAGTCGCAAGTTCATATATTGACGTGGGTTTTCATTATTTAAGTTAATCGGTAAGATCTTCTATTAAAAAAAGATGATATATAATAGACTCATTTTATTGGAAGGATAATAATTTTAATATTTGAAGGCGATTAAAAATTTGAGTCTTATTTTTTTTAAGTAATCAACATTTTTTTTAAACAAGTAATATCAAGGACTTATCTATCTTATTCTACTATATTAATATTACGACTACTTGTAATCAACAAATACTTGAACAAAAATTATTTTATTTAGAAACGATTAATTGAATGGAATACGCGTGTTTACGCGTATTCCGTTCAATCAATCGATTTAGAACGAGCGGACGGAGGTTTCCATCACTAAATAGTTCTTGTGACGTCATAGTGGGTGCAAAAAATGTGGCACGCTTGGTTTTCATACAAATTGCTGTACTTGCGGCGTCTATCTAGATATATGTATGTGCTTTACACCCATATTTTATACAGGGTGTAAAAAAGGGACCAATCGTATTTCATGTGGCATTAGGAGGTTTGTGTTAAAGAAGACATAGAATTTTAGCAAAAAATTTTTTGCTAAAATATTTAGATTTACTTGCTAAAAGTTAATTAGATATGATTTCTAATTAAACAACAATGTCAACAATTGTCAATTTTGATTAATTGAAGGTTACCTGTTTATGAAAACTTATATTAGTTGCTAAAAAAATGAGACTCAACTAATAAATTTGCAACGAAAAATAAAATGGTAACTATAAATTATTCCTAAAAATTAATTCATGCAAGTGATGTTTTAAAAACGAGTTATTTAAAAATAGTAAAACCGAAACGATGACTTAATGTGCGAAAGCTATTTAAACGGTGAATGTAGAGTTGCCAGATTGTTAGAATATAGTATGTGTATCAACTATCAGACCAATACTATTCCACCACCATATGTATTAAATAAAACTGTAAATACGTACAATTTTGCCTTTATATATTTACACCTGTATTTTTTTAAGTATGATTTGGATGTGAACTGAGTAGCAAATGTGACTCCTGAAGGAGAACCGATTTAGCCCACAAGCACAGAAAGGAACCAAATACATGAAACTTAAAATTTTTACAAAAATTCCCAGGAAAAAAAGTGAAGTACTGATTATCGTTATAAAAATAACCACAAGCTTTGGAGCACGTGTTGCTCTTTGCTTCACTTGCTATGAGCAAACCGAATCAAAAACTAGTTTTGTTGAGTTTCACATAAAGTACGACGTATGGACAAAAGAACCGTTTTGAACGTGTATGTAGTTGATTAAAAATTTGTGAAATAAGAAAGTCAACCTCTACGTAATGTATTATTGCGTGCAGACAACTGGAGTTTTAATTGCAATAAATATTCACAAGCTTTTCTGTGTCGTTTCTTTCTTAAGCCATAGAGTGTGTGAGATAGGAAGAGACAGTGCAAACTGGCAACTCTACCTTACCTTGCGCAGTGGATCAAAAATTAATTTTGGATGACGATAGAATATGCGGGTGATTTAAATATTGGCGATTTGATAGATGTTAAATAACGTACAATCGGTCTAGTGTCGACGTGTGCTCGGCACTCCGGTTAACCATTTCGCCTCCGTTCGGCCTAGAATGAGATACATTTATTGTATTTTTGTCCACTATAGTAGAGATTGAATTCATTGACACTTGTATTATAACATTTTGCTGTTTGTGTTTAATAAAAAGTTTGGTGGAACAAATTTTTGTCCAAATGTTTCTCATATTTCTATAATGCACAAATTTAAGTAATTGTCGTAACTAGACAGTGAGACTCACTTGCGCTTGGCATGCAGCATTTCCATGAGCAGAGTCTGTGTAGGGGCTTGACCGGCGCAGTGTCTCTGGTACAGGTGCTCCTCGCCCCGCGCAGCCAGCGCGTGAATCTCGGGAACCACCATCACTAGTTTGCCGAATTTATCCTGGAATTTTTTTAAATTGTTTAATGACTAATATGTCATTGTATCTATATATTGTTATTTCCAAAAAACATAATAATTAATGTTCATAATTTTTAAGTTGTGATATAATATACAATTTTATACGTTATGCTGCGTATACTTTACCTGTATCGTGGGGTAACAGGTTAGAGTGTAATCGAGAAGTGCGGCCTGCACTGTCTGGTATCCTTCTCGGACGCATTTCACATTCACGATGCCCCTCACTTCTGAAATCCCAAGACAAATCTTCAAAACAAACACGAGATGTATTAAACTTTTTGTTTCTTAAAACTGTTGGAGTCCATGATACATGAAGATAAAAATAAAATAATATTAGAAATAAAGCATGATAATAAACATTATTTAACATAAAATATCATTCGCTTAAATGGCCGATAACTTTGGATAAAAAAATATAAATTGATTGACAAAGTTTACGAACGAATATCTTGGCAATACCAACCTGGATTTAACAGAAGCAAGAATTTGACACAGATATAGTCAGGGACATCAAATTTTAGCTCTGCAAGTTTGTTTTGAAGCTCGTTGAAGTGATCGGCCAGGGAAGGCACACCAAGGAGTCCTAGGCAAAGCAGGTCAAACTTCTGGCCATTGTGTAAAGTTGTTTCATCGGGTAAACCGTTATGCATCCTCTGGTGAAGGTGATCTAGGACCAACATGTCGGACCACGAGTGTTGCAGCAGCTTCATCTGGTCATCGACCTGGAACAAATGACAGTCGCATTGCTACACGTGCAGTCCAACATTATTAATTTAAATTCAATCACGGGATTATGCAAAAGAACGTCATAAATTTGCCGTCGACTAGTTCATGTATTGCGAGTAACGAAGCATTCTTTCGAAAATAATGTGAAGTTAATTAGTCGCGTGCAACTTTTAGTTAATTTATAGTATTAGACCAAATTACAATTGCTCAGTTACTCAGTAGTTTGTTTGGAGCATACATTTTTAGATACTTCTTATTGCCGAATGAAGTTGGAGATAACGGCAAATGAATTTAGGAATTGTGCTAAGTGGGTAACGTGTAATCACCTGAAGTTTTACCGCCAATCTTTTAGAAAACTTTTGTTTCTGTTTTTATCCATCTCCAGTAAATACCATTTGATATTTTTTTTTCAATTGAAAAAGAGACCCGTTTTATGTAAGTACTACGCGAGTACACTGTAATAAGTGGGTACGTGTTAAAAGACGTCACATAATGTACGTGTCAGCGACCAAATCAGGTACAGGTACTCTGGCGCTCAGGCAGCGGTCTGTGACCTACATTTTATTGAGTTGCATTATAAAACATGGGGCGGTGCGCGAGCGCGTTAAATTTGCCGTTTACGAAATGTTACAACTGAATTTTAGAGCTCGGCTATTGCTACATCGCATGCCGCTTGCTCAACGCGATGAATCGAGATCGGGCCAACCAAATCAAACTATCCCTATCTATGGAGTTGATCTCTCAACATTCGATTAAGTACATTATAATATCTACCGCTCGACTTCAATTACATTTTCGATTGTAATTTTATTTACCTGGAGGTCTGTTCTTTATTTCGATTTATACGTATTTCGTAATCATCAAGAACTTTGGACTACGTTTAAAGTAGACGATGCAAGTCTTGAACAAATAATTAACTTTAGTGCACTAACGCACTTCCCGTTGTCCGTTTTCCCCTTAAAGGAAGTCGGTTTTCATTGCAATAACACGTCATCACGCATGAGAATATCAGTCCTAATAATACTATATAGAGCGCCGACCTCTTTAATTCTTAACCACTGAAAATTGAATTTTATTCTTAACCACATAGAACTTTAAATTCAGTAGCAATAAAATGAGATGCGACCTTTCCGATGTCAGCGACTAGCATTCCCTTCAGGCGGCCATCTTGGTTTGAGCGTCAATACTCGGTAGCGCTAAGTAGGTCAAAGTCGCGTCGATTTGTACTACTACGTATCTCAACGTTAAACTTATCAAAGTATTTCTATTTATCTTCTACATGCTGAGGTGTTGTGATTTTTATTTGGAAAATAACACTAATCATGTTACGTTTATTAAAAAAAAACAGGTAAAAAGTAATGTGGCGGGTCGCGAAATGTGCAATAATATATATTATTTTATTATAATATGGAAAGGGGAACCGGATTCTTATTAACGTCAATCTTGACAGCACCAGACTTGGCTAATGTCTAGGCTACAAAGAACCAGATAAGAGTTATTCTGACGGACCGAGGCGTCTATAACGCTATAAAACGTGACGAAATCAAATTATTCCCGATTATAAAATAACAAAAGTTGTTTTAATAACTGGCTTTACTCAAGATTAAATGAAAGTTGCAAAGAATATTCATATTTCAGAGTATAACATTTAAATAGAAACATTAAAAAACGTATGAAATTTATCGCATGACATTTTTATATTGACATTAATAGGAATATTTACCGTATATGACTTGTATTACATTATATCTGTACTTAAGTGTACATATCTCGTCAGACGTCATAGCATGGCGTCAGAGACAATTCAAGTTCATCGTGCTGTTATGCGGCTAATCGTAAGCGTAACTGGTCACATTATGTAAGAGAAAGCTAAGAAAGGCCAAGCAACTCGTTGCGTCTGTTAGCGGCGGTTACGCGCGCGGTAAAAAGTGCTTTCTCGCATCAACTCGGCCACGGGCAGTGTGTCAAGTGCACAGAGGAAAGTGCAGCGTTGCCGCCCCGCGCTCGCGCCTGTCTCAACCAACTCGCTCTCTGCACCGTTACATCACACCCGTCTGGAGAAAGCACAGTAGGGGCACATCCACATCTCTCAGCGCTCTATTTTCATTTAAGGCGTTCTATTTACCTTCATTACAACGTTATTCTATGTAACCTTTTCAGTTCTTTAGTAGTTAACCAAGTACAGAACCATATTACAAACAGGTGTGGAATGACGGTAGAGCCAGTATTTCGTTCGAATGTATGTCGAAAAAAAATGTTTAAAACAAACTTAGATATAATCGCGACTTATGTACATAAGTAAATCCTGATTGCGAATGGGTCATAAACAAGCCGCGTCATTTCAGCACAAACAAAAATTGCTAGTTGTAGTGTAGAGTCGAGCTGGCCTACCAGAATGAAACAACACGAGGCGTGCGGAGCGGCAACATTGCCCGCCCACGTGACCGGCCGCGGTTCTTGCGTAAGCGTACGACGACCACGGCGCGGTTGGTCTCACTCGCGATCCTCACCGTTTGACTCCTGCTGATTGATTGATTGAATCCCCGCCCTGTACCTAATTGAGTACAGGAATATATATCTACTTACATTAATTATTTTCGGCTAATCAGATATCCAGATTCAATTGAATTTACACCTAGCTATCCCGTTTGAAAAGCCCTGCTAAACTGATAGTGTGCCGTAATTGATTATTAAAGTCGTAACGTATGTTTTGTTAAATGGTATCTGGAGGGATAGTACTTGTATAGTGGATTAAGGTATTCGGCGAGGCGGCCAACGGCGGCGCGCGTTTGTCTTGGGAACTTGACCCAGTTGCCGCCGTGGCGCGGCGCGGGCGGCGCGGTGTATCGATTGCGAACCGCACCGTGTCGCCCACTGCGTCACACGCACCCCACTCACACATCCTACTTATTGTCTGCACTGCATGCACACAATTAGGTATTCGCAAAGCTCTGTGATTTACTATTTGGAAAGAATCACCAAAATCGCACAGCAGCGCAATGAATTACATTCGCAAGCAATATTCGGTGTACACCAGGACTAGGGTTTAGGAAATTGGGATAGGATTTCATACTTATCTGAAATTCACCTTTAGATACTTAAAAAATACGGTGTTTCGCGCCCAGTCCACTTGCGAGAACAAATTTTGGTCCAGAACTTTGCACATTAATTCGAAGAGATCCACCTCACACTGGTTGTAGGTTTGGCTCTGCAAGAGTCCGAACAACGAGTTTTGCCACTCGCGATCATCTATTGTTTGAACAAATTCGCGAATCATGGGCGATACTCGGAGAGTTTCTGTGCTGGTGGCCTCCGCGGTGCTGGAGGGTGTAGCAGCCGTCGTGCCTGGCGTGTCGAAGGCAAAGGCATCCGGAGAAGCAGAGTGTGGTGAATGAGCCTCCCATTTGTCGTGAGCCGGCGGTGGGGGAGGCTGTGGCTGTGGTTGCTGGGCGGCGAGAAGCGCTGGCCCAGGGGATGACTCTGGTGACGATGTAAGCGACGACACTTGCGGTATTTGGATCTCCTGCTTGACCGGTACTGAGGTGTAGGGCGTGCCAAAGCCGAGCACTAGGCCGCTCTCCCCGAGAGAGCCACGCAGTGTCTGCACTGCAATCTGTCGCTGCCGCATCATCTGCAGTTTGCGAGCGCGATCGCGTTTGTACATGGGACCGAACTTATTGCGACCGCCTCGCATACGGTCCGCTCGAACGGCTGTAACAATAAAGTTTTCGTCAATCATTTCTAACTAAAATGGCTAAGGCAAATTCATCGCATAATATGTTCAATAGTGAAAAACAAATATTTATGCACGTTATATATAAACATATTTGCGAGCAGACACGTAGGAATATGATGTGATATGATATGATTTCAATAAATAGTAACAAACATTCAGATCAAGATAGCATAAAATACAGGTTATATGGTAATCAAAAGGCAATGGACTGAATGCTTTTATATTCTTGTATTATAATTTTTAACAAGTTGAAGTGAGCTGTTACACTTCGAATTATTTTTCCATACATAATGAGCAAGCATGATACAGAAAGGCAATGATGGTTTTTTAGTGTTCTATTTAGCTAATGTGCGTCAAGATTTGATTTGACTGAATTTATTAACTCGGTCTATTACAACGTGACGCATTGGTGCACTAGGGTTGTTTAATAACAATTTAATAACTTAGGTCTGAAATTTAGGCCAGCGGCCCCATAACGCGCCCGGGCTGCGCTTTATTGTATCTGGCTGAATTCCAAGTGTCGAGGAGCCGTTCCTCAAGATACCAGCAATTTATGTGCGTTCCGACTGTCGGGGTTACTACACGAAACCACATTGAAATGAAACGATCCTTGCCGAAATGTAAATCATAGATTATGTTAATTGTAAGTCGCTATCTGATACTCCTCAAAGTACATTTTTAATTAATCAGAAACTTAGGCCGTTTAACTTTTTTGTCCTGTTCTATGCTATTGAGTTTGTTAGTATGTCGGGCAGTAAAGCGTGGCAAAGGAACAGTCATGCCAGCTTGCCGCCATCGCCGCCGCCGCCACCCCATGCCCCGGCCCTCACTCGCCTTGCAAGCCACAAAGCAGCTGTGACTGCGAATTCATATAAGCATATCTACATAGTACCTACACGTATGTATTACGAACCTACTGCGCCGGCTACCGGAAGGAGAGGGAATCTGGTACTAATTGTAGTATAAGCACTTATAACTACTTAAGTCAGTTTCGTAAATAAATTTGTTTGCCCTACTTTTTTGTTCCAAATAGAATAATTAGGTTAAAATTTAATGATTTATTGAACATGGGAATTTTGTTTGTATATCTTGCTAACTTTGTTTGTAAACTTTCAAACATTGAAGTGCTTCCCATGTAAGAAGCCAGAAATTATTCGTGGTTTTGTAAATACAGTTATACACGTGCACATGGCGATGTCGATTATTTCTGGAACAGGCACACTATGTACCTACGCATTTGCTGAGAGTCAGAGTCTTAGTAACTGTAACTGTAAATTGTATAAATACCACTGAACCTGGAACGAGAAGGGGCTTTCAGAACAGCCCGCTTGCCCAACCCACGAGTTAAAAATAACAACCAGTTTTTATTGTAGCAACTCGCTCCGTGCGATAAGAACAGACTTATAGGTTTTACCGAGGGTTTAAGAGAGACGGCTAGCGTAACGGATTCAGGCGTTGTTGTGTGCTAGCAATTCCATCAGTTATATTGCACTCTGGTCCATGAAAAGGTTTATGTAAACGGCTTAATATACATATTACATTGGTTTTAAAATTTTCGTTAAAGAATATGTAAGGATGTAACCGTCCCGTCTGACGACAGACTGCAATATGCAGTTTGGATTCATCCAAATTTTAATGCAGATTTTGTTAATTCTGCAGAGCAACGAACGAACTGCATAGTGAATTGCGGGACAGTTGCAAATGGGATTGCCCGTAATCCACCATTTTAATGCATTTCACCGACTGCAAATATAGCATATAAACTACGCTTTAATCGATGATTGACAGTTCAAATACAGTACGTTTAGCTAGAAATTGTAAAACAATTTAATATTCGGTTAGCATTTAAATGTGCAATGAAGTTTATCTGTTCAAGGAGATAATCATGTATTTGGTAATTAAATTAAACTTAAACTCTGAAGATATACATATGTAACATATACCATCATATCAGTACCCACACATACCTACTAGATACAGATTCTTTAAGAACTTGAGAATTGAGTACGAAAATAAGGTAATAGTTCGATTGGTTGGTATTGTATTTGTCGCCACAGGATAAATTAAAGCAATCTTGTAGAGAAAGGAAATCATATGTAATGAGTGACAAAGGTTTAACTTAAGTGAATATACAAGAATATTTATTATGTGTTGCACACATTAGTGTCCCAGTTAATGTTGGAATCTCAAATCGTAGATTCGATTCCCGGTAAGACGAATTTAGGAAACGAACTTTTCTAAACGGAGGTGATTTAGTAGTGACATAGTATCAGGTAAATAGTTTTAAGAACAGGTAATAGATTTGAATGTATACTGCTTTATTTATTAGATATTATTATAATCATTTAAAATTGACCTCTAAGATGGGTTAAAAGCAAAAAGTGCTGAATATTGGACAGATGTGCTTTAACTGGAAGACAGAGTCGAAAAGTAGTTGGTGTGACTCTATTGAATATAACTTGGATAGTAAATCGCAGGCATTTTTGCAGCTCACATTAACGTGACAAGATGGCGCTGATTAGGTACTTTGTAAAATAATCAAGTAACAAGGAACTTTATTTCCCTAATACAGTAACAACTATGGATATAATTGGGGACTAAGTGTTTTTTAACAAAGTAGACTAGTACTTCCATTTCCAATCAAAACAAAAATACAGACCTCATATGTGACATGCTTTCGCTATTTTGTAGAAAGAATTTCACAATATTATTTTAATGTGTTAAATCTTTTCTGTAGTGTTAGTGCTTTGAGTAGGTAAAGTGAAACTTTATAGCTATTTAATTTTTTTTTACACGAAGTCAAAAAATGGAATTTGTGTTCACATTTCCCCAAGTCTGTTAATATGTATGATATTATAATTAACATATTTATTTTATTACGTCACCAGATTGCAAACCCATTTGTTACCTATTTAGTAATAATATCCATGAGATTTGCGCGACCGTTTGCGTTCCGTGTAGACTTCGATGACGTGTTAGAAGCTCTGATAGGAGGCGGTCGATATCCATATTTTTTATATTTTATTGAAATTTAAAGTACACACATACTTCCTGTAGAAGAGTTCTTTAATCGTTGTAAATTTTCTTATTTGCTGGAATAGGGAATACATTAGCTATTTTGAAGGAGATAATACTTACCTACTACATAATTAAATATCTATTGCTGTGCAGATGGGAGCCAACCGGATTTATAACATGATGACTAATATCGAGACAGTGTAGCCGCATTTATCGTGACTGTTTATTGAACTTTTGAATGAAATGGAAAGTGCAATTAGATTTGTCGTTAAATAGAAGCAACATGCGTGCATGTTTGGAGTGCGGAGAGGTGATATAAGCAATAAGTTCATAATTTATTTTGTGGGTTGGATACATACAAATATGAATCAATCACGGATATACTATCTAGATGTTATCGCTTATTAATTTTAAGAATTGAGAACATTCGAATATGAATGCCTCTAATCACCTAATGTTGTTATAATGAAGACATGATAATAGCCGATAATGTAGTAAACGAGGTCAGTCGTTTATTACACGACAAAACTAGATCAAGGTCAAGGTCATTTTTACAAATCAAAAACACACGTCTTGGTGACAAACAGCCGGCGCGTAGAAATAGATTTGGTAGTACGAGTGAGTTCACCTCGCATTCTGATGCTATTTGTGGCTATGACCTACTTATCACAGATGGGTCAAGGTCGACCTTGGCAAATATGTTCAACCGAATTGCAGCACATCCAGTATCAACCTACCAAACGACAACTGGTGAAGAACATTTCCAAAGCCGAGAAAGCCACAGTCAGGTCCATTAGAATGGATACAGATACAGGACCTTGGCATACGCGACAGGGTCGTCAAATGAAGTAAGCGTGTCAACGTGATAAAAAATTGTATGTACCGAAAGGACGGGAAGAGGTGGGGATTGCTCCTTGTACAGACGAGTCGGTGAAACTTGGTCAAGGCTGGCAGCGGCGCCCCCTTCAGTCCGGCCCCTCCGCCCGAGCGCCGCACGGAGTCGGCCGAACGCGCCCGAACGCCCGCACGCACTCGATCGCGCGCCCAGATAGCGACAGCCCGATCGTTACACAACCGAGATAAATCATCACCCGCGATGATCCACAAAACTGTGTCAAGATCTCGTCTACATTTATAGGTACTGCGCTCGCACTTGTACTTTGAGATCTTTACGACTACTAAGATTCTTATTGGAAGAACCTTAACTTAATTTGTTACTTAGTCGAAATTCTCGTACCTTACTGGAATGTACTTATATAGTATGATACGTAGATACTATTTAAGTGACGTAACAATTTACATATTAAACTGTAATAAGTGGCCAAAGTATCAAACACGTTTGTTGAACATAGTGTACCTACGTTGCCTGCACGGAACGTGCCTACATTCATTATGACGATGAATATACATCCGCTTTCATGAGCGCTAGCAAACCACCACAACCATGCTAGATTTTACTTATTGTAAACAGGTTTCGCGCTACGAAGGCGTGCCTGAAGCGCCTGCGCACCGAAATCCTTTCAAGATGGCGGCACTCGCACAACTGTCGTAATAATACGACAGGTAATGCCTAAAAAATAGAAAGGCCCGGTGTGCGAGGTCGCTCTGTTGAAACACCCGATTCGGGTCAAGGCAGTAGCGCGCCGAAATAATCGGCTGGCGCGCGCGTTTTTATTGTGATCTAACATCTGTCGCGGCGTACGGGTTGCCTCAGCAAATCCCTCACCATTTAAATTTTTTTGTATATGGCTATGTATGCTCTACACACGCCACAAATAAAGTCAATACCATAAGTACAAGAAATGTATCGTCGATCAAATTGGCGTTCTTAATATTTTTGAAATGCTTATTAACTATATTAATTTTATCAAATCAAAAAATAATGCACAATGCATAAGGAAAGTTTTTCATTGGCATAATACTACGTATATTTGTAAAATGCTTATATATTTAAGTGTATAAGGTAACCGCAACCAAGATTATTCAATCAAGACCTGAAATTAGTAGCCAAAGTTCTGCCAAACACAGCTGCGTTACATACCTACCCAGTATGAAGATTAGGGCATGAATGCTGAAGTGAAGCCCAGCCAAATGTACGTTTCACATAATATTAAAAGATTGGCTTACAATTTAGTACCGAATGGTACTAATTCGAAAAATTTCGGGGCTAAATTTGCAACAATTGGTGTATAATATATTTAAAAAAATCTCTCCTATCCCACTCACAAGGCGAAGTAGAGAAATTTGAGTAAGATTTTTGATCATTAGACATCCACAGTCAATAAATAAAACACTTGCAAGGCACTAGTGTCTTATCATAATAATCTCGTTGTGGAGGGACAGTTTTGGAGGTGTCCAACCAACACAACTGTCCCTCCACTCCAGCAGACAAACGCCATAACGTCATTCTAGTTATTGTTATATGATTTTAGTTCACAACAACTTTTTGGGTCAGGTAAAGTAATTTGTAATAATATCACGATAGTGCATTCAGCACGCGTGCTGTCGAACATGTAATGCGATACGTGTTCAGGTCACATTTGGGTACTCCATTGCGACAGGTCGACAGAAGCGTCTTGTGAAATGGCGCTTGCGCAGTGCACCCCACTGACGACGACGAAGCTCGATTGTGTCGAAACGCGCGATACAGTCGCCGGCGGTATACAGCGCGCCTTCCACATAGTACAACTTCTAGGTGGACAGTCTTCTTCTTATAATTTATTACTTTATAGTTGTAAAATTATTATTTCACATGAAGCTGTGGTTTTCCGATTCTTTTGACATCAATAGTTCATTTTTTCATTTCTAAGATGTAACTAAATTTTTCGTTCTGTTGAGTATGGTATGGAATGTCCAAGATTTATCTTCGACTGTTTCAGTGTCGGTTAAACTATAATGATGTTGACTGGTAAATACAGTTGCAGTATTAAATGACGGAGTGTTCTTTTTGACCTGGGTAAAAAATAAAAGCGGTAACACAGCGTGGTGGGTTGGCTGGAGCCGGAGCTGAGCCGCAGCGGTGGCATTGCACAAGGCTTAGTGCAGGTCGGGCAAGCGGGCGGGCGGAGTGAGGCTCTCGCAACCGCTGCTATTCGGGTCAGCCAACGATTTGTGTGAATTGTGTCATCTGACGTATGCTTGCGATAAACGCTTGTTTGCGTTTTTGTAGCAAAGTATTGCAATGAGCTGATCGATATTTTATTTTAGTTTTTATTTCTATCAAAGAAGTAATCTATTTTATTGCTTCTATGTTTTTGATCATAATTATTGGCTTTTTTTGGCTTATATAAGTAGGTAGTATTTAAAGGTACTAATATAATATAAGGCTTAATTTTTTTATATCACGTGGCGGGACCAACAAGTCGTGGTAAACTATACGCCTGTCCATAACAACTGTATATATGGATATACCCATATATACAACTGTATATATGGATATACCTATGGAGGTATATTCAATTTCTATTGAAGTTTTCTAAAAATACTTATTAAATAAGCACTAAATTTGCACAAACACTGTTTGACTTTATTTTTTCCTTATGAAGAGGATGCAAGACCCCAATACATATGATTGAAATAAGTTTACGAATGAAATTTTACGCTTTATATTTTAGATTTTGCCGATTGTTTGAAAGTTAGACGCTATTTGGATGGAGTAACTTTGGCTAAATCGCAGTCAGGTATGGTATGTAGTACTGGGTAGGTATGTTGCAAATATCACAGAATCTGGCGAAACACGGAGTGGCGAGTGGCTCACACAGACAGCGGCAACCTCGTGTTGCGTACATGCACGCACAACAAGCGGCGCGCGCGCCGCATCGCGGCCCCGCTCGCAAGTAGGTCAGGGCGCTCTGCGGCCGCCACGTTTTAAATTTAGAACGATCTGCGCTTCAAGCTCCGCCCCGCGCGATCGCCTAACTAAATGTTAATGTGTTGCCTTCAAAACATCCACCTGTAACCGCACCCTATATATGTTCCCAAACATAATCGTATTCGTCATGTGAATTGGGATTCCATGTACACCTTAGAATTTCATCTATTTTTAGATCACGTGTGATTGTTACGATGAAGATCGTTTACATTTGCCAATATCATAAATAATCTTACAAGAACGCCGGTAATAAGTACTACCTGTATCCATACTATTTTTTAGTAATTCACATGACCACATTAAAACACTTAAATGTTTAGGCTGACGACGGATCAATGATAATAAATTACATCGACGAATATTTATACTTGAGGATGTAATTAATTATCTTAAAAAACAAACACAACACAAAGACTGACTAAAACTTATAACACCAAGTTTGATGAAGGGAGTGAATCTCTTCAATTCCCTGCAATGTGAACTTTTTGACGTAAGTATCTTACTATGACATGCACAGAAACTAAGCTCTATAATTCTTTGATTATCCTTGCTTGATCAACTGACTATCGCAGACTTAAGAATAAAATAACAAAACTAATGTTGCACAGATTGAGATCGTCCCCAATAGAAGCTCCAGGGTTTATGTTGTAGTGATCTGAGTGACAGATTTTGAAGGTTTATCCAAGGTAGCAGAAAAAAGTATAAGTTTTTGAAAACCGGCCAGAGAGATATGGGCCACTTGCAGTAGCAGAGTGGCATAATCTAAATTTAAAACTAGTAGTTTCTCGTTGGATCTTATCTGTTTCAAAATATTTGCGCCAAAAGAACACCCCATAGTACCACTAAAGGGGAACCAGAAAAAAAATAATAAAAACACTATTTTAGTCATATTTGTAATTATATAAACAACTAATATTACGTAAACGGACTTTAATTTGAGTAAAATAGCCATGACCTACAGACACGGTAGTATTCCCAAAAAAAAATAGGATACACATGGCATTGACTTACAATTATATGGACGTCGGGTCCGCGCTAAAAAGTGTCCGAACTTATAGGGCGTTAAAATCGTATACAGAGCGTCATTCACGCTTTAGTCTTCGTTTGTTCGACTGACAGCGAAGCAAGCAAAATTAGACAGTACTGCGATGACATTACAATTTAAATTCAACGTTTTAGCTTTTTCATATTCCTTTACATGTCACTACATTTAAATAGGTTGACTTGGGTCATTTCGTCCATTTATTTGTAAGTCAATGACACATGGTCATTTTAATTTATTTCATTACCATCTGTAAAAAAAGCAGTCCAGTATATACATGTCTAGTAGAGCATGAAACCATACTTGGATGCAATTTGCAAGGTAAACTAAAAGATTTGAGCGATACTATAGCAAGTTGAATTGTTACATTCCACGTTCTTTATTTAGCAGTTTATATTGTTCATTGTCAAATTAAGTACATATGAAACTTCAGTTTCACTTTGTTACAAAGTTTCGTTGTAATTCATGTTATAAGATTGCCAGAAAAGGTATACCTATACACTTTGGAGATATTGCAACTGTTGCCTATTGTGAAATGTTGGAAATGCTCTCTCGTACAGAAAGTAGATAATGCATGTTATTTTACTACTGCAACAGAGTCGTTGAATATGCCAATTACAAATCTGGTTTGGTTAGAATATTTTTGTAGATTAAAAACTTCAACATTAGATCGTTTACCATTTTTAAAAGTACTTCTACGTATATTTATTTATAGCTTGTTTTATCCTAAATAAATTTATTATTCGGTGCTGGTTAGGCAAAGATTTTGTTGGGCTTGTAAATAATGTATTATTCCGAGTATTTTATTAACTGTCTTCAATGAAAACTCATGCCGAATCCTTGCTACCAACCAAGTATACTCGTAAAGTAAGTTGAATATTGTACATAAGTGTTGATGGTCTTAACTATTTTAATAGGTAAGTAATACTTATAAGAAATTAACTATTAAAAATTGTACAATAAGTTTTAATTTGTAAAAACGAATCATATTAAATATGTGTATCTAAATACCTCGAATCGAATAAATATAGTATACCAAGGTATAATCTAATATTTTTGTGTTGGATAAGCAGTTGGATAGCGATAGCCAATGACAAAAATGTAGGTGAAGGTTGATGGGGAGCTGCTTTGACCATAGTTGAAGTTACGACAACCGGCTCTCATCTGCGGCGAAAAACTTTCGATTTCGATTTCAGTCAGCAGGGTTGGATGGATGATGTAACGTCTTGGGCATATATTTGTTTGACCTACATGTAGATTACATTGGATGGTTGTACTACATAATAAGTGTGTTGAATGTATGAAGGACACGGAAGAATTAAACTAATCATGTACCTTTTCGTGAATAGTATAAAAAGTACAAAGATAATAACTAGAACTCACCTTCGAGTTTCATGCCAACGTCGAGGCATTTTTGAAAGCGGCAGAATGGGCAACGCTTCCTTTGCGTCTTATCGATGTGGCAAGCTCGATCAGCAACACACGTGTAGACCTTCTTGTTTTGAACGGTTCGCTTGAAGAAGCCTTTGCAAGACTCGCAGGTCAGGAGTCCGTAGTGGTATCCGCTGACTTTATCCCCGCAGACGGGACACAATTCTTCGATCACATCCTTAGTATCGGTTTGGTCACATACAGTTCCAGTAGCAGGCAGATAGGCGCCAGGTTCACCTCCGGCGCCTGTTGGAAACAAATAGGAAGCGTCCAAGTTGGCGTAACCAAAAGAGGATTGTTGGTCAGGTTGGCATTGGTATGCCGCGCCTTGGGGCACATACTGCTGCTGCGATGTACCAGAGGGTCCACCGGAACCGGATCCTTCTGGACCCGGACTCAGATCGAATGGAGACATATTGAGGGACAAGAGGCCTGGCTGATCCATCGTCATGCTCGGCCGCACAGGGCGGCTGCTTGTTACAAATCCCTACAGCGGCGTTCAACCGCGACAACGTTCACACAGTCACCGAGTTCACTAGCGGTCTGGCCGCAACACTATCTGCCGTTCGTGGGCTGCACCTGTTCAATCACTATACTATGAAGCACATAAATCCAGCACATTTTGTCCTAGGAGGTATAAGGTACGATAGCCGGTAAGGCGCTAAGCGCCAATTTGAAGTTGGTGCGACGACTGTTTATAAGAATTGAACGCGCGCACTGTTACGATCGCGTTGAATATTATTATCAACAGCGGCGCGCGTGCCGCTCAGAGGACGTTCCGCGATCGACTGGCGGCCGGCCGGCGACAACGGCGCGCGTGCCGGCGCCTCCCGCATGCGCGCCCCGCCGCCACCCGCGAGCCCCCGCCCGCTCGCACAATGGAAAACGATTAGGAGCCCATGTAATAAGTGAAAGTGAGTCGGTGACCCACTTTCCCGCGATCCAGGTCTATGTTAGTGCGCGTTCGCGCGGTTGCGCCACCGCACGGGTGGAGGAGGGCGCGGGGGGCGGCCCACTGACCCAGTTGCGCGCAGTGCCGCAGCAGGGCAGGGTTGCCGCAAACATACACCTCATGTTTACGTTCATACGTCTGCGAAACATTCGCGTTGTAACGCATACATTTTGCAAGCAAGCAATAGCAGGCGTCGTCGCCTTGTTTAAATGCCGGCGCTGCAGCCCAGAGTCAACTCTATGTTTCGATAGCTGAACGGAGGAGAAGTCAAGTAATAACGAACAAGAAATCATTAACATTTTTCTGATAAATTTAGTTATGGACTTCCATATCCAGCTCTTGTTTCCTCCGATCCTGATCATGTTTCATAAAGTCCTAGTTTTTACTACCGATATCAATTACCATTTTTGAAGTACGAACAATTGTCAAAAAAGAAGAAGGAAATAAATCGATAGTAACAAATGAGTATCGAAAATATAGACACAACTACAATTTGGACGTTTTTCCTGAACAACTGAAGTAGCAAACATAATTCGCGTGTATAAAAATGCATCAAAACCGATCCAAAGAACTACCAACCCATATTTTTGTTATCAGTTTTAGCACTCTGATCTCAAACGAACGACAATTTCGGCATAAAAAGTAACTTGATGTTCACTCTTATTGACGACCTTGATCTGATGTTAGGAGTATAATAGCATTACAAATATTTCGGCCGTTTTAAATAACAGCAGTTGATAAAGATTAACAATTGAGATAGTTGTAGTAGTGAGTAGAGTTTGAGAAGTTGGGGCAATACAAATCAAGTGCAGCTAAAATGCATGGAAGTGACCCACTGTCCTTGCTGTTGGGCCCAATTTTAGTTATAGTCTATACAAATATTTTCATTCATTTTAAATTTATTTCTCAACTTTGGATATTAGTGGTTTTTTCAACGACATCAATGCTGTCATACCTATATTAGAGCTCTAAATGTATGAAGTCCGCTCAAACTTTGCACAAAAGCAATAACCGTATGATTAGCGCAAGTAAGAAGTGTTGTTTTGGGTAACAACAAGAAACCAGGAATGCGTAAACATTAGGATGATTAAAAAATAATATAAACGATGCCATTCGTAAAATTTTCGAGAATTTGTTTTGTCTAGAATCTAAACTTGATAGAAGAACTAAGTAAATTAGAAAAAAACTATAAGCTGGGTTTGTTATGCTTTCTGATCCTTAAGAACTTAAAAATGGCATGCGTTTGAGTATGTTGAGGAGAGTGACTTGTTACAGGAGGAAAGACGGACGTGGTGTAATAGCTCTAAACTTAAATATAATTAAACTAACTGTTGCCTGTGACTTCGTAAGCATATTTTTTTTTCTTTACATTGTAAATGAAAATATAAAAAATTTAACACAATGAAAAATATAAATAATTTCGGATGCCTGTTCCAGTATAGACGTACACAGCGTTGAATCAGCACTTGTGTTTAGGCAATCAATGTTTGGGAATAACAATGCGTTAATTGGAAACTACTGATGAACTTCTTTATAAACAACGTTTGTAGTTGTAGAGCTAAAATCACAAGGTTCCTTTTTGCCCCTGGGCTATGTTAATTGTCAAAAAATGTAGAAAACTGTTGAACGACCAAAATGTTTAATAGTCTTCCAACAGAATAATTGAAATCATCACAGAATCCTCTCCATGCTGTTGAATGAAGAGGACCCTGTGCTGTTTCTGTGTCTGTTGAAAAAAGAAAAAACAATTTTGTCATGTTGAGGAATTCGGTGATAGAAACAAATGATTATTACGTTTGTATTTAAATGTAATTGTGTGACAGGGGGTGAAGTAATTTAATATGCCTTGTAGGTTTAAATTTTTTTCATTGATTAAATTTTAAATTTGTAACTGCCACTGTGGTTACTATGTAGACTGCCACGCAAAGATCACAGGTTCGATTCCCGGACAGGGAAAAATATTTGTATGTCCTACATTTATTTCTCTCGTGAGTTTGGGTGTCATTTGTGGTCGTCAATGTGTGTGCATGGCAACCGCGACATAGGGTTTCCCAAGTGCGGGTCTACATTTATTGTGTGCGTTATTATTATTATTATATTTATTTTAATTTTATTATTATTATTATTGATGACTTATTTAATTATTAACAATGTGTGCTATAATTTATCCTCTGATTGATGTTTGAGATGGCACATTGCCTGTACGGATGTTTGTCTGACACAATCCTAATCGTTGTGGTCTCTAACTAAAATGATCTATGAAAGCAAAGAGCCTTTAAGCAACTTATAGGCATTTATGTTTTGAATCCGGTACCATCGAGAACTATAGGTATGTATTATTAACGCTGTACGTTCATAAATTTAAAAAAAGTTTAGGTTCCTAGGATACAAAAGGACCAGATGGGACAAAAGCGGCACGTTCAAACGCGATCTATTGCTTTTAACAATGTCGTTAAATTACAATCAACGTGCACAGTTGCGCGTGGGTACTGTTACTCTGCTTCTACTTTGAACCAGGATCATGACCCATTTCACTGTGATAATGGTAAGTATAGTTAATACTGCTTGGAAGTAGGTAGATACCGTGTAATACCTGCTGATATGAGTAAATACATACATGTGGTCCTGGTAAAATAAATACTTTAATTATTAAGTATAATTAGTTTGAATTACCACCTAACGTTAAATCTATAAGTAAGATAGTTATTTATATCAATGGAATTATTGAAGTAGCGTGTAAAAGCTATTAAATATCAACCATGTTAAAAATTAAAGATCTTGACCTGGTTTTGGTCAAAATCAGTCAGCGGGTCATGAACGCGTGACTGCGACAGCCTTGATGATCAAGCGCACTGTAATGCGATGCCAGTACGTGCTCTCCATATTGCACTGCATTCAGGGTTGTCACCTGCCATTTCTTAATTTACGGATAACCAACCCCAAAATATTTGTAAAGTTCGGAATCTCAAAAAGTAATGATAATTACAGACTCAAGTACTTTAATCAAATTGACGTACAAAATTTTTATTTCTCTTGACCTTAGAAGAGGGTCAAGAGAAATAGACTTGCAATAATAGTTATTACCTATTCAGTAAAGTTTATTGTTCAAAAGGCTTTCAATTTTTTTTTTAATATATGTTTACACGAAAATTAGAAAAAGCAGTCTGAATATTTGACAAGGGCGGACAGTATAATAAACACAAATTGATGTAATTTAATGTTTTTCCACTCAATTTAATGAAGTGAATATTTATCAAATTAATTACTTAAGTTTTTTTACGGAATACAAGTGTTCAATTGAGCTTGTGAATATAAAAGTAGGTCTGTGTATAAAAAAAACCTAAAAAAGGACTACTTTCCAGAGTTACGGTAGTAACTTTTTAATTAGTTTTCACAGGCTTCATATCTATATAGAAAGCACAACAATTTAAATAACAATATTGAAAATGTATATTATATATTACAGTGTAATTATATTTATATCGAGTACGGGTAAGGTAAAGGTAATTTTTTATTGAGTTAATTAGTTATTATTTTTCTTTTGTTTTTCTTTGCAATTTTGCAACATGCAATGTGTCTGATATGAAATCATGAGCAGTAAATTTTTTGATATAATATTTTTCCTTCCAGAGTTGGATTGCCTTTATGTGGCTGTTTACTATTCAGCAAATCCGAAATGACAATGTATTTACGCTTCAATCTTCTCATCCTTCGCTAGGCAGTTTATTAGTATGAGTGGCTAAACTTTCTTTATAGGACTTGTTAACCTTGTTATTTCCTCAATAATTGTGGGCATTTCAAGATATTCGTGAATCTCATGTATTCTAATGAAGCATGGAGCATTTATAATTGACTTAAGTATACTGTTTTGATATCGTTGCAGAATTTCAATGTTTGTCTGACTAACAGTTCCCCAAAGCTCAATAACGTAAGTTCAAATTGGTTTCAGAACTGCTTTGCAGATAGTTACTTTATTTTCTAGACATACTCTAGACCTTCTACCCAGTAGCCACTTGAAGCACCTGGTTCTGTAATTGAGTTCATCGCGTTCTTTTTGGATGTAGGTCTTCCATGTCCAGTCTCCGATTGATGTGGAACCCAAGATACTTCACTTCTGTGTTATGTGGGAGAGTTTCTAGACCTAGTTTTACTAGAGGAAAATCTTCTTGTAAAGGTAAACGTGACATGTTTGGGCTTTACCGCACTTGCCTTGATCCGCCAGGACGTCATCCACGCATACACCTTATCCAGATGCATTTGTAATTTTCTTGACGCTACGTCAGGCTCGGCATCAGAGCTTAAAACTGTTGTGTCGTCAGCGAATGTGGATGTCATTACGTTGTCAGAGTCAGTACATCTGAAGTATATATGAAGTAAAGAGTCGGTCCTAAGACGGAACCTTGCGGAACTCCTAATTGGATCCATATTGAATCCATAGATATTTGGATCTCATAGAAATTTGATGTCATTTATTTTGAAATACAATATGCTATTTTATAAGTACGAATTCATGAGAAGATATTAAATTATTTGGTAATATTATTCACAATATCAGAAGTTCCACACTATGTACGTATGAAATTATCTCTACCCAAAAGGTTATTTATGGCACGTTCAAATGTTCAAAATAATTTTTGTAGTACATTAAACTATAATAGACTTTGCTGTAAACTGCGAATGTCTTGTACAGTGGCTAGTGTAAGTCACCTGCAACTAAAAGAGATCAAGATGCCTGGTGTCTTGAGTATTAAAGTGGGAGAATATAGAAAATCCTAAGAGTATTTTTTTAAACAATATTAAATTTAAATAACGTACGTTACATAAATTATAAGTATGGTTTACAAGTCTCATGTGCCTGTAACTTGGATAA